TTTTTTTTTTGTAGGAAAACGAGTTCTGCAAATTATCTTGTAGTCGGCTTTTGTTAGACAAAGAAAGCTACCAGATGAAGACGCAGCCAAGCGGTATAGACCTCGGAACTTTTTGCTTCACGAGATTGCAGGTTCGGTCCCAACCGAACTAGATAAATTTCAAATGGGACTTGTATATATTATTTCTACTTCCTTATTTACTCCAGAATTTTTACTATTATTTTATGTTACAGTTTATTTAATGTAATTTAACTTTTTTACAAAAATTTTTTGAAATTTAGAACATGTGAAGTAAGTGAATGATGAATTTTCCAGTATTTATGCCAAAGATTATTGCCAAAAAAGTTTTTATTAAAACTGAAGTTCCCCATGGTGTATTCAAAGTGAAATATATTAGTAGATGTCTCACGACAGGTACTACTTAAAAGTGTGAAAATCCAAGATCCAAAGAAAGCACTTCGCAAAAGCCCACTATGAGTTGATTTGTACAGACATGCTTCGACTTATCGCCTTGGTACAGCTAAAACAAGCGCCAAGTGAGTAAGTAACTCCTAGTGGCACAAAAGTGGCAAGTCAAGAAACTACAAGCTAACTCATATTGGCCGTCTTGAAGAAGAGCTCTAATATGAGTTATCTCGTGTTGGGCAATCAACGTGTTAAGTAATTCCTTCTTCCCAAATATATGCGATTTCTGTCAGTCATCACTTTATAATGTCAGCTGCATTTTATTTGTGCCCCAGTTCATTGATGACCATCAAATGGTTAATGAAATTCCTTATGGATGTCTCAAGAACACCCAGCAAGAATCTGCTCTAGTGCTGGTGTTTCACATTTTTTTTTTTTTTTTTTTTTTTTGTGTGTGTGTGTGTGTGTGTGTGTCTGTATGCTTGGATTGTCTCTGTAAGAAGCTGTAAACAACGTAAATTAATGTTCAAATTTTCCAGTAAATTCCTTATTACGGTCATGTTAGACAAAATGATTGACCAGTTTTCTGATAAATTCCAGACCTTCTTTTATTAAACCTGTATTTAGAAGTGGAGCATTTCTTCATTATCATTACATTCTGTAGGATTGGTAGTATCAAGAAGAACCTGCTAAGGGCTTTGTTGACTAACAACTCATTAAATTCTTCAAATTATACATCATCAAATCTCTTTCCACCACCTGCGTATGTTATTGTAATGCTGTTATCACATCTATAGACGCGCGCGCTTACCCGGGACAATTCCGAGAAACGAGATTCTAGTAGCACGGCTTTAAGCGGCAGGCTCCCGAGAAATGTTTCGTCTAGCTAGGAGGAACGTGTCCCGGCTACGAGCAACATTTTAAAACTTTTCCCAAAATGTTCCGGCTGGAGACGTGTTCCTCGAACGTTCAACCAATCAGACGAAAGGTCAGCTTCTGAAGGATCTAGGTAACTTTCAATATGGCGATGGCTCTCACTGTGAAGTGTGGACGGTGGAAATAGAGGCCGATTTAATTATTGCTGTTTTGTTGTAATACAACTGCCTGAGTCATTTTTTAAACGTGTATATATTCATTAAATATATAATCGTAGAAATTTCAGAGTTGACATTATTTTACGACGTTCTTGCATTTCGGATTTGTTTACAAATTGTTCGTAGCCAAAAGTTCGCCAAATTTGTCGTATTTCATGCTGATCGTGTATTATAACACTGTTATATAATAGAATTTTATTTCTTAAATTTAAGTTGAATAATTTTTTAAAATGCGTTTGTATATGCGCGGCTTTTCTCCTAATTACTTAACTTTTAAATTGTTAACATAATCAGGGACACATTTTAAACAGCATAAAAAGATGCATAAAAAGAAAAGCATAGCTTATGTTTAATATTGAGAATACTCATTAAATTTGTCTATTATTTTCATGTTTATTAATGAAATACTTTTGAATTATAAATACATTAGAAACTATACTTTTATGGAAATGCTACATATTGAAACATTGAAAATTTATGGATTTATTATTATGCATGATGAAAAATATTTGTATATACATTCATTAATATAAATCTTATTCATTACATTAATACTAATAAATATATATTAACAACTTCTAAAACATCGCATCTCTCAATCTGTATGTAAATATATGACTTATTAGATGTGTATATATATATATATGTATGTATGAATACAAAAATGAACATTGCCAAGAAGTTTATTTGAAGTTACTTTTAATTCAGATAACGATTATGTAATTGGCAGCAACTATAGTTATCAGTTCTTTGCAAATTATTATGGGTATGTAATAATTAATTTGAGAAATAATTGATGAATATTTGAGTACTAAAGAGTGTACACATTTTGTTATTGGGTTAATTCATAATTATATCATACGTATGATCTATGTAATAAAAAACATGACTAATAAATAATAAGGAATGTAACAGCTGTGCATTTATAACATTTGATTACTTAAAACAGTGCACAACTGATTATCACCGTCATGTCTGTTTACATAATGAATTGCACTTTCCAATTAAGTGCATGGGCCTACTAGTGGCCGAAGCGTCGTTGAAGAGTGGCTGGTAGTTCTGTCTCAGGTTAGAATGCCGCGAACGGGCTGGCTACATGACGTTTCCTTGGTTTGCCCCATTTGTAACTGGTATACGAGCCAGTTTTAAAAAATCTTCTACAAAGGGATCCCTCCTGTTGTTATCCCTCGAGGCTTTTTGCGGTAATCACATAAAACCAACTGAGCCCACCAGCGGCCGAGCGGTAAAGTCGCTGAACACTGGTAGTTCGGTCCGAGGTTCGAATCCCGCGAACGGGCTGGCTGAATGGAAGCTTCGTGGTTTTCCCCATGTGTAACGTGTATACGAGCCAGTTTCCCTTAGAAAGTCCTCCCCGAAGGCATCCCTTCCCTTAGGCAGATAGCCCTAGTGTGCTTTGCTGTAATCTCAATAAATCAAACCATAAAACAAACTCATGATGCGAACACCTAATTTCTAGAGTTGGTATAATTAATGTGTTTTAGGTATAATACCGAGCGTTCTATGGGACAGTAAACAACTCGCACATGTTTGATTGCTTATGTATTCATATGCTTTATTTGATCTTCATTTTGCTAAATAGTATCTGCTGGCTGTGAGGAGGTAAATATTAGCCATATAGATTTTTGTCATTTGAATGGACAGAACAGTAATTATGAGCCATAAAGTTAGTCAGAAAATGCTTTCACCAGGTCACAAATTTTCCAGTGAGCCATCAAATTGTCATTGAAATGCAGACAACAGAAAATACACATAAGCGATGTGTGATAAATAGACTTATCCAGCACATGTTTTTAAACTATTCTTAGAGTGTATACAGAATTTGGCTATTACTGATGTAATTGATTGCTATAACCAGAAGTGTGTTTATCTGTTAAATGAAGTGCCAGAGTGGAGATCAAAGTGATTAACTTGATAGCAATCACCTTTCTATTATCTTCCATTATTAACAATAAAGTTTAAAACGAAAAGCGTGTGAGCGATACAAAACAACACGAAGAAGTGAATGTCACTTGAAAGGAAACGTCACTTTCGCCAATCTGAGCGATAACTGATTCTTGTTTGGCTTTCAGCCTGTTTGCCAAGTGAAGATGGTAACCCTATTTCGCCAAAGGCCGTTTCTCAGAACTGTTGCTACAAACGTTTTGTCCCGGCAACAAACAGCTAATGTGATAACAGCTTAATGATTCTGGAGAATTTGATCCCATTTGGTATAAATGGTATCTTTGTTACACAATGTGGCCAAACTGTTTCCAACATGCATATAAATTTGCTGGTTTTAATCCAATCAATACTAATTTAGATTGATATAATCTATGATTAAGAATGTCTTCCACAAAACTACAGTATTTCATCATTCAGTTTATCTTGAAATGTTTGTTTTGTGTAGTATGTTTAAAATGTTGCAAGTATACCTTCATCCAGTAACTGTAACAAAGATACAGTGTTAGGTGGCAGAAATAAAATTTGTACCACAAAATTATTTTTCTTAGAATATGGGGGGGGGGAATTTTAGGAATTGGTTTGGCTTACACACATTAAATCAGAATGACATGCATGAAAAGAAAATGAAATATCTCACATAAAAAAAGCTTGCATACAAATAGAATAAGGTGTGCATATGTCAATTATTATTAGAAGCTATGATACTTTGATGAAGATCAATGAAAAAATACTGTAGACATTTTTTCATGGGAATCTCCCAGACCCAATATCCTAATGGAGCAATCTTTAACAGCTGTTAAGAATTAGAATAACACTGAAAATCAAGTTCACTATTCATGTCTTGTGTTCCTACTAGTGTTGAGTTGCTAGTTTCTGAGATGCATTACCAACAACTGTGTAACTTTGACATACCTTTTTAACATTTGATATGATGATGAATTTTATTTAACTGTTTAGGCCATGGCTTGACCTACAAATTTGCCAAACATGAGCCCAATTTAACTAAGAAGTGATATGCCTTATAAAATGCTATTAATATTTCCTTAGAATAGTTGCTGTTTTTAAAGCTAGAAAAGTCCAATACTTCATTAGATAAGTGAACATCATGCAATGACTCTACAGTGTATTTCTGAGATGCATATTGAATGCTAACGTTAACAAAATGACTCATTTTAGAGATGAAAATTTCTTTTACAATTTGACAGTGTCAACCTATGAAATAGAAATTTATACAAGTGTGATATATTCAGAGATGAAAAACATAATTATCATATTAAAAAAGCCTGTAAAATCAATTTAATTAAAGTTTATAATATTAAATAGTATGAGAAATTTGCATCAATTTTCAACGATTGATGGAGATTCAGTGTTTTTGAGCAGGGAGTTATAACAGAGATATTGATACATACATTTTTAAATATTTAACTTCAACACATGACATAAAATGCAAATTTTACATTTTTTGTTCCATAAATGTTGCCATATCTGACCCTTACTGTAGTAATATTAGATTAGTAAAAGAAAATTATCTTCACATACCTGCCAGTGATGAAACACAGATAAGCAGAAAGCTTGTCCTTGTGTGTGTGTTCTTAAATCTGTTTCAAATCCAAATGAGTCTATGGCAGGAATAAATGCCTTAATTGTATACAAAGGAGAGCCAGGGACAGGTGCATCTTGTGTAACATGGCCCCTATAAATAATACATGATTAAAAAATGCATTTATTTTTTATGAAATGCTTGGTTACAGTAAAAACAAGTATGATCTTACAAGAATGAACAATTACACATACATGAAAACATACTTTCAAAATTACCTACGACTTTGTTTAAGAATGTACAAACTTACCGTAATTTCCGGAAGAAAGGCCACATCAGCGTAAACGCCGCACTCGAGAAAAATGACGGGAAAAAAATTAAAATTACACAGAAACGCCGCAATAGATTAAATTGCGTGTACATCGTCGTGGGCCGTATAGATGCAAAAACTCAACCTAAGTCCTGATATATGACATACCAGTTAAGAAAAATGCATGAAATGAAACCACACCTCGAAAATAAATTAAAGGTAAGAAATGTTTAAAATATATTTACCTTCACGTATGTACTTATATTTACCCACTAAAGAAGTTCATATTTGTAATACTCAAACCATATTATAAAAAATGTTGCAACAACGAAATATTAAATTTGGATGACAAAGGAAATTTTAAATTTTATTTACGAATTAAAGCAAACTATACATCATATGAAGCCATCAAAATCTGATTCTTCACTATCTGAATTAAAAGGATTTAGTAAATCCTGATCTAAGTCTTCCAGATCGTCACATTCATCCTCTTGGTTTACAGTCTCTTTATCTAAGGATATAATTTCAGCTTCTTTGAACCCTGCTATTATTGACGATGTTTCTACCGATTTCCACGCACTTCCTGCCCACTTTGCAATTTCTTTCTTCAACAATTTCACACAACAATTTTTTGACATCTGGTTTTCACTGACTCAAAGAAATGAGCACGCATGGAATCCATTATCAATAACCCCTTTGGTTGGAAAAAAGATCCCATAGGACACTGCCAAACTTTTTGTAGCCACTCATGCATGATTGTTTCGCACATCTAGCCGTTCTCGTTTGCACAAATAATTACGTCATTAGGAAAATCTTCCTTCGGAATAGTCTTTTGTTTAAAAATGATCATCGGCTTTAGCTTGTCACCGTTTGCGGCACAAGCTAACACACATGTAAATGACGTTCTTTCATGCCCGTCATAAACACAGATACAGTTTTTGCATCAGTTTCATCAACAGTTCTGTTTGCAGGAGAGTCGAAAGCTAACGGCGTTTCATCCATATTTATTATCTGTGACCGAAGAAGTTTTTTTTTGTCAATAATAGCTGTCACATATTTCAGAAAAGATGACTTTTTATCCTGCCGGTCCACTGGTAATTGTTACCCGACTGTTGTTCTAGTATGCATAGAAATATTTTTTTTTTTTTTTTTTCATAAATCTGCTACACCTCCTTTGAAATCATTTATGTTCATTTAATTAAATCATTTATGTTTTGCTATAAATTTTGCTTGTAAGCGAATTTTTACAGTCGAAATTGCCATTCCCTTTCCTCGTTGCTCCTTTATCCAGTTTGCAAGGTCGTCCTCTAGATTTGGCCACCTTACAGTACCACTTCTTTTGGATCGTTTCTGTTGTGGCATATTTTTAAGAAGTTCTTTTTCAGTTCTCCAACGTCGAATACATCTGTCGTCCACTTCAAACTCTCGAGCTGCTGCTCGATTTCCAATTTGTTTAGCATGTGAAATTACATTAAGCTTAAAACCAGCAGTATAGCTTCTGTGCCGTTTAGGGACATTTTCAAAAATTTTCCACTACCTTCTTACTTAAAAACTATCCAACAAGTACTTGTACCCAAACTGATGGGATCTGTACCTGGCAGAATGCCAAGAAAACTCCATTCATGCTGAAAGAGAAATACGTCAGAGTTCGTTATTGCGAGGCAGGTGAAGTCGTGTCCGCCTTTGAAAAAAATTGCAGAAAAGGCAGGGGTGGAGAGAGGATGGAAGATTCATCGAATGGCAGAGGAGAGAGACTATTCAAACTGATGAGAATGTTGATTTGAAAGGGGGAAGAATGTTATTGTTCTGAGATCTCGTTTAGGGTGAATAAGGCATGTAGGTCTGTTCAAGGGAAAGAATGTAAACAAAATAACGTTCGCAAAAAGCAACTGAGTGGTCTTTTGTGTGGGAACAGCACCAGTCTATGCACAATGACAAGGCCATCCAAACTATGTACAATGACCATCATAGGAGATATTTTATTTTTAGTGCACCTAAATGCCGCACCCGCTGAAAATTTAAGTTTTAAACACGTAAACGCCGCGGTGTTTCTTCTGGAAATTACGGTACCTTCTATAATATGTTAATTTAAAAACAGGTACAGAACAAAATTAATATTTGAGTCTTGCATTTCTGTTATTTAACTTTATTATTCAATTAATTGTTGGAGTTATTTTAGACACTCTCCTCTTAAAACAACTGTAACAATGGTCAGAACTGAACAATAGAGTCAAATAATAGAATTAAATAGACTCATATAATGATTCTGTTTTGTAACTGTTTTAAAATGAACAGGATGTATAACAAATATGTTATATGTACAGGATATACAGGAAAAAATAAAAATATTTATTGAAAAACCTAATCATATTGAAAACAACAATAAAATTTACCAATCAAAGTCTTTAGATGATTCATAACTTCCATTATTTTTTGTAATTAAAGAGCAGTTAACATTTATATAATGTTTACTGAAATTTGTGTAAGTAATATTTTCTAAATTAATTTACCCTCCCCTTAAAAAAAAGTGACTATTACCCCCTAAAAAATTGCAGGAAATAAATACATGATAAATTTATCAGGTTAATAAAAAATCTCTTGATAAATGTATTTTTTGACTAATGTTATAAATGGCATTCTTTTAGCATAGTTTGTTTTAAAAAGGGGGGAGAAAAAAAAACGAGAGGCAGATCAAATATTTTATCAAGTAATACTGAAAATTCTTACACTATCTTCATTTACTACCTAATTGTGTAGGATATGCTTGCTACATTTTTAAATAAGGTTAATTTCTTTTCCATTTGTTACACTTACATAGTATAATAAACTCTTTAACCTATGCTAAAATAAAATAAGCAAGCTAAAAGCTGATAACAATCGTATTTCTACATATATGTTACATATGAAATCATTAATTAAATACATGTTTAAACTTAAATATGCAAACACAGAAAAATTGAAGTATAACTTTCTTTTAATACAATATTAAATTATATTGCACTTCATATTAGCTGTTAAGTTTATACGATTTATTTCTGCAAACACAATAAATGCAACCTACCTGCGCCTAGCCAGAACAGTGTACACCGCAGATACACAATCTGCTGGTGCTTGAACTTCAACAAAATAATATGGCTCCATAAGACGAGGTGTGGCCATAAGAAAAGCAGAATATGCTACTCTTCTAGCAGTTGGAATGATTTGACCACCTCCTCTATGAATAGGTTCTCCAGCAATTACAGCATCCAGGATTTTAAATTTGACATTCCTTATAGCTATAAATGAATTTCAGTTTAATTTTTAAACAAACTTAGTACATTAAAGTCATCTGAATGTTAATAAAACTAAGCAGGGGAAAAACATTATAATACCAGTATCTGATGTTCATAATATGAAACACAATATCAGTTTTTTACCACAATATAAGAAATAAAATGACACTGCAAAGCATTACAACAGCGATGCCTAATGTTCATAATGTGAAATGCAATAGCAGAGCTTTTTCACAATAATGATGATTGCATAACCAAAGAATATACTTTGTTTTTATAAAAGTCATTACGATCATTCACATTTTAATACTTAAATTATTTCCGAAGAACAGGTTTTAACAGGAAATTGACTGATGAACTAAAGGTTTAAATCACAAAGATCATATTTACAGATGCAAAAATGGATTTAGTCATCCAAACTAAACAGGAATTGATTCAAAATTCTAAGTGCAGAACCAATTCACATCAGTTGTTAAAATTTATATAAGAAATTGTAGCATTCTTAGTTCTTTTTGCAGGTTGCAGTTAATGTTTATAAATCTATTTTTATCCTGCCTATTCCTTTTCAAATAAATGTTGCACAAATTTTACAAAATTTTAATCTTATCAAAATGCAAGAGAAATAGCAATAAATTTATATTCTTCTCTGCAAAAACTGAACTAGCTTACTGAGGATTGAAGTTAAAATTAAAGTTAAAATCTTAATTAATATTTTTTGACTCTAAGCTTATCCATTACTGGTTTACATTGTTTACTTTTTATTTTTGAAAATGATGAATAAAAATATATATAAGTATACCGATTTTTATTTTATACAAACTGCAATACTAATAAAATTGTTACTCACGCTCTTCACATAAAGGTCCTTCTCTAGTTGCCCACTGGAAACCCTGTACAATGCTATCTTTTACCATACTTAACAAACTTTTATCAACCTAGAAATATTTAATACAATAAGATATATATTATATATATATATATATATATGTAAATAAAAAAAAATATGATGGCTTTGCTCTTTGCGAACCAGCATCCTTTAATTAATTTTCTGCAATTCAGCATCTCCCCATAGACCATTACCTTCTAGAACATTCGCACCTATTACGTATCCTCATATAAATGCTGCGTCATAAGTTTTTCTACATTTTTCTAGAAGCTACTCTGTTACATAACCTTTCATATAAATGCTGCGTCATAAGTTCTCCTAAACAGATGCCTTCTCGCCTTCGTCCTGCTAATGCTTCCGCTATGCTCCTCTTTCTTTGTTAGAACGTTATGACGTATTAAAGTTTAAAGTCAGTCGTATCTAATAGTTCAATTACTGAATAAGTTATTTGATTAACTTCATCTGGAAAAAGTTATCTGCTATAAATTAAAATAAAGATATGCTTGCTGTTAAAAGTGAAAAGTCCTGAGTCGTCATTTTTCTCCGTACTTCAATCATCCCATCGTCGCCAATATGTAAGATAAAAATATATGAATCAGAATTATAATATAACTATAAACATTAATTCTTCCTCTCTATTCTAAAATCGTAATAACTTATCTGCATTGCGTCATTCAAATTAATCATGCGATCTTACGTAACCGTTAATACCAGATGCATCTTGACGACCAATCACCGAAAATTGTAAACCAAAACTTTTCTCTTCGCGTGCTTCCATCTTTCATAATGACGCACTTCAGTCTTTGCTCTCTACCATGCTAAAATGTAATTTCGCTGGCTTGCTTTCTATCCCTACAATATCAACAATGTAAATCTTCTGTGGAAAGGCACGACTAGAGTGCCAAGTGATTGTGGCCACAAATATGAATTGCAAATAAAAATGGAATTAAAATCGCTTCTACTGCCAAGTTTTATTTACGAAGTCAACACATTAGCTTACGACGCAATCAGATTACTTCCTCTTCAATATAGGATAACTACGCATCGACATTGCTCCGGCTTTTCCTTGTGCTTTTAATATTACAATTAAGCCGGTAGGATAGTTTCTTGCTGCTGCAAACCTCAATGGAAAATTTAGTTCTGCTCTTCCAATCATCGTTTTGTGATAAATCCAAGATAATGTGAAAGAAGTGAATCATCAAATTTGTTTTTTCAGTGTTTAAAAAATAACAGATCATTCTTCTGCTGTCGTGTTTTGCAAGTGCTTCAAAAAAATAATCATGCGTAGTGTTTACAGATTGAAAGTAATCTCTCGATAAATTGAGAAGTTCGAATGCCTAGTGAAAAGGAATATTTAATTTGCTTCGCCGATCTCTACAATATTTAGAAAAAAAGTGCTTTAAATCATCAGTGAATTACCGTTTAGGAATTAAGCATTACAGCGGGTTCAAGGTCGATCCGAGTTAGTGTTTGCAAGTATGTGCGACAGAAAATTATTTGCACTTCCGCTTTTTCAACAGCTAAAAAATTATTACATTCGTGTGAATCTAGCTCAGGAACTAAATTATTTAATGTGCTTCGGATTCTATAGTTTTCATTTCAACTTTGGTTAAAATTTCTGCAATTTGTTTTGAGAAAATCTGAAATTCTTGTTCATTAATTTTTCTAATTTTCATAATTATGTGTGAGCAAATTAAGTAATTAATTTTAAGCTATTTAAATTATTCATAGGGAAGGATATTAAGATAAGTTTTTTATGTTTTTGAAATTTTGTTGAGAATTTGAATACGAATTTTATAATTATTCTAAAAATAAGATGTTAAAATAAATGAAATTAGTACAGATAAGTAATATGAAATTATGGTAAATGCATGTTAAAAATTTTGGGTTATTGTGTGTTAAGTATAGTATGATGAGGGTGTACTGGTTCCTTCAACAGAGGCCTGTAATTACCTCTGTACAGTTGTTCCTTTCACCCTCTTCAAGTAAGATAATGTCGGAGGCTCTCATTTGAGTGTGTGTAATTTTTTTTTATATTATTATTATTATTATTATTATTATATTTTTTATTATGGAATGTATTAGTGCAGTTCTCAAAGGCCAGTTACCTTAATGCAAGGAACGGATGCCTTTTCAAGTAACTGCCTAGGCACCCTGGGCCACCAGTGCATAGAACACACTGGTTAGCTCAAGAGGACAGCCCTATTGATGGATATGGTTTGTTTAGAAGAATTGCGAGGCTTCCAGTTTGGTAAAATCAGGAATTGTAAATGAAAGATGATAACGGTGAAACCATAAATTTCTGAAACTGTTATCCTATTATTTATTATGGTTTAAAATTATAATTTATCAGTATGGAAATTAAGTATCATCAAATATTTATGTGCGTCACATTTAATTATAAGAAACGATTATGTAAAAGTTGATTTTGTTATATTCTGTGATAACAAGAACCTTCCCTTAAGAATTATGATTATGTGAATTCTGAAACAAAAGACTTTTGGACTGAAATGCTGAAAAATTCAATCTAGGACTCTAAAACTTAAAAATTTATTAAAAAAATTGATATCTTATAAATTATACTTTACAGAACAAAAATTTGATGACTTATGTTTTTTTTTTTTTTTTTTTTTTAAACATTTGCTAGTGCTTTAACTCTTTCTCTTTAAAAAGGCTTCTCTGTCGCTACGCCTTTTTCTTTTTGAAGGGGGGAATATGTAAGATAAAAATATATGAATCAGAATTATAATATAACTATAAACATTAATTCTTCCTCTCTATTCTAAAATCGTAATAACTTATCTGCATTGCGTCATTCAAATTAATCATGCAATCTTACGTAACCGTTAATACCAGATGCGTCTTGACGACCAATCACCGAATTGTAAACCAAAACTTTTCTCTTCGCGTGCTTCCATCTTTCATAACGACGCACTTAAGCTTTTGCTCTCTACTGTGCTAAGATGTAATTTCGCTGGCTTGCTGTCTGTCCCAACAATATCAAAAATGTAAATCTTCTGTGGAAAGGCACGACTAGAGTGCCAAGTGATTGTGGCCACAAATATCAGTTGCAAATAAAAATGGAATTACAACTGCCTCGACTGCCAAGTTCTTTAAATACTACGCAATCATAATTTTTCTTCAATATGGATCTCATCACGCATTTACAGTGTTCCGTCATTTCCTTGTGCTTTTATTATGACATATGTAAGATAAAAATATATGAATCAAAATTTTAGATTAAACTATAAACATTAATTCTTCCTCTCTATTCTAAAATCGTAATAACTTCTTTGCATTGCGTCATTTCTAGATCACTCTGTGATCGGCGCAGCTCTGATGACGTAATCATTGGGAACTGAAACTGTCCTTGTAAACCAAAACTTTTCTCTTCGTGTGCTTCCATCTTTCATAACTACGCACTTCAGCTTTTGCTCGCTACTGTGCTAAGATGTGATTTCGCTGGCTTGCTTTCTATCCCAACAATATCAAAAATGTAAATCTTCTGTGGAAAGGCACGACTAGAGCGCCAAGTGATCTGTGGCCACATATATTTGTTTTTTCAGTGTTTAAAAAATAACAGATCATTCTTCTGCTGTGGTGTTTTGCAAGTGCTTCAAAAAAATAATCAGGCATCCACAGTGTTCCGGCTTTTCCTTGTGCTTTTAATATTACATATATATATTTGAAAGCATACTATATTTAAAATATGCATGTATTTTTAATTGATTTTTCAGTAAATATTCTGTTTGTTACAAGACTTGTTTATTGTCCCACTAATTATAGCACACAATATTTAACTAATGTATCTTACAGTAGCATATTATCATACACAAAAGAAAAATGTATTAAAACATGTTGAACCAATAGAGTTTATAAATTAAAAAGTTTAAACATTGAAAATAATTTTTAAACAAGCAATAGACAAATATATATCAAGATTAGCAAAACCACAGACCATCTAACAAAGAGCACACTTAATACATGCCAACCATTAATTTCTACCTTTAAAATAATTTTATATTTACAGATACTTTTTTACAATAAACAGCAACAAAATTTACAGTTCCAAAATATAAACAGTAAACTTGAACAATTTATATGACTTTATTTATTACTTCAATAATAAACAAAATACGAAAATGAAATTAAAGTTCCTCCCATTAGATTAAAATCATTAAGATTACATAAAAAAGTCCTACATCTTCATTCACATCAAATTGTTTTAAGCACAATTAATATTTAATTAACCAATATTAGTTTAATTTCTATAAAAAAGATGTTTGTTGTAAAAAGAATTATTTAAGGCATTGGTTTAGTGGGGGGAGGAAAATTAAAAATAAAAAAATGTTTCATTCAAATAAATTTCAAATAAATTCTAAGCCTTTAAAAATTAACTAACTTGCAGTCTGTAAACTTCATATTATAATCAGACACTTCAAAGAATTTACCATTAAAATTTTTAAAAAATTAAGATACAAAATGGAAAACATCATATTAACATTTTTACTTTCTCTGTAAATAAAAATAACATCTTGAGTTGCTAAAAATATAGCACTGTTTAGTAAAATTAAGAAAATACGTATATATAAAGAGAGGAGCTTGAAATTTAAATACTGCAGTAAAATTTCATCAACACCATTCATATTTATTTTGAATGTAGATAAAAGAGTACAGTAAAAAATAATCTGGTGATGCTGTGTAAAGTATTAAAAGCATATTTTATTCATCACACTTATGATATAAAATAACACATATTGCCGAGTATGATAAAGAGGTATAGATAAAATAACTTTTCAAATGATTTACTTTCTTATGCCAATGAGCAATGTATTTTTTACAGTATACATAGTAAAAATCTTATGCATTATTGATTGGATATGTTCTCTTGTTTTTCCGACTCCTTACTGGTAACAAATAAAATTGTACAGCTAAATGAAAACAATAACACTTCTTTGAGGAATAAAAAAAAAATATCCTACAATAAAAATATGCAATTTTTAGAACAGTTATAATAAAATAAGACATACCTCAGATGGTAGAGTATCATCAACAAGAATGTTAGGTCCTGTGGTATCAGGTCCAAATGCCCAAATAGACCGAGCAGCCAGTAAATCCCAATCATACTTATTTTGAAAAAACTCTCCCAATCTTTTGCGGTTCCAGTTTATCTGAACAACTTCATTTTCAATGTCTTCTGCTAAACCTTTTTCTAACGGCTCTGCTATCATAGTCAATTTATTCCTGCAAGTATATATTATAATTTTCTTAAACATTATAGAGATAGTAATGTAAATAAAGTTTGCTTTATTATTCAACTTATCTTTCATTATGGTCATGTAGTTTGTAAAGCTTTATCTCTCATTATGGTAATGTAATGGTATCTATAAGTAACACATTCCAAAACCTACTACAAGATATGTGAAACTGAGGATAACTATGTATACAATTTTTCATGTAGCATATATAAATGCAGAAAAATTTAATTGCAAAATAGAAATGGATAGACTGCATATATTAAATAAAACTTTTCCTGGGAATACACAGTAGGCGACTAAATGCACTAAAAAATTCCAAATTACATAAAAATGAAATTAATGCAATCATAATTGTATAGTCAATGTTACAAAGGGGTGGTGCCATATTATGTGTGAATTAAGAAGTCTTAACCTTCCAGCATGCACGCTTGGCAGATTTACATGAGCATGCGCATTTTTTTACGATATCTGTTATTTTACCGTTTTTGGATGAAAAATGACAAAAATGAGTGAACATTGATAATGAATTTGTTAAGAAATTAAATATTAAGCTTATTATTGCAAAATACATATGATGTACCATTGAAATGAAAGTAAATTATTTGGAAAAGTTTATATTAGTCAGGTGAAATGGCGATGTATTCCATTATAGAGAATTTAAAATTTTTTATTTAATAACTATATTTTAAAATCCAAGTTAGTTTTGATACTACTCACCAAAGGCAAGTATAGACAAATAACAAAGGAAACTACACTCACCTTGGTAGAAAAAAAAATGTCACATTAGCATTATTTCTGCAAGGAAATTTATTTCTTACTGGTTACGAAAACTAATGTTAAACTAACTTTAATTTTAATATTTTTAATTCTAAAAAAAAAGAAATAAAAGAAAATAAAGAACAATAATAATAAAAATAGAAAAACCGAATTCTAGAGATTCCTTAATGTTCAAAGTTCACATTGCATTCCATGCAAATAATTTTGGTAATAGAATGACGTTTGCACGTGTATCTTAGGTATGTCTTGTATTTCATAGATGTTGATGATTTCTTTTTTTTTTCCCCCGACAACGCAAACTGCATGTTCCTTGTTTCGATGAGTATTGCTCTGGCACTTCATCATTACGAGTAGTATAATTACGAATTAGAAATGTTGAAATGGAAGGTAGTGTTTGGCTTTTGGCATGCCAATGAAGATGCTCTTTCATAAGACTAATAGATGAAGTCTTCAGGAAGATCCTTCAGCATGGTGATGTGTTAGCTGGCTTGAGGTAACAGTGCAGTCTCTTTCTCTTGAATATTTGCCTTTTAGCAAACTTATATATTTATTTGTACATTTCAAAACTTCATCAAGCATAGTTATATCAATTATTTTCAAAATATATCCTATTTCATTCTCTATATCCTTGGCATGGTGCTTTAGGCCAGGCAACACATTCACAATATTCATCTTTTTCGTCTTTGAGCAGTTTCCATACTTCTCTTTTTGCCACTTAGAATATTCTTACCAACACAGAACATCATATCATCATTTTTTTTTTCTATATCATTATTGTCACCATCATCATCCGAAATATATTATTAAATTCACTGCTGATATTATTTATTTCGATATTTTCCTTGCTCAAATCGCTATTGTTCTTACATCCAAAAGTTTCCTTATCTTCATCAGATAATTCTGCAAGAATGCGAGCAAAATCAGCTGGTTGCGCTTTTTTTCCCCCCCATGAAAACTGATATAAAAATCATAAAGTCAAATTTATACAAATTAAAATAATACATGCCAATTAACAAAAAATTAGAGAAAAAAATATTTTCCAAATTTTTACCCATGGCCACGCACGTGTTGAAACCTTTACGAAAAAGCTGCCATGTAACACAAAAGCCCAGTTTAAAAAAAAAATAAAAACTTTCAAATCATATTATAGTTCAAAAACAGCTTCTATTGATAAAATATGTACTTATAAATGCTAGTCCCTCATTATAAATGATTTCTTTCAAACATCCTTTTTTTTTTTTTTTTTTTTTTTTTTTTTTGAGAACTTCAAGGATTTTATTTCCTATTTAAACATTAGATTTTACATGTTATACAGCTTTACAGCAAAAACTATATATTATAATCAATTATGTATTTCTAAGTTCTTAAAAGCAGTTCTTTGTTTTAACTTTTAATTGAAGTAATGGGTATAAGAAAATAATTGTTTAGCAGGTCAAAATCTTTATTTTTTATTTTATTATTTTTTTAAATAAATTTTCTGTAAATCCTGATTATGACAAAATTATGTCTTCATTTAGAGTGAAACTGTTTGTGGCAGTCTTTATTTCCACTGCCACCTAAGCAAAATTCCTCTCTCCTTCACAAAGGGGTAAAACCAGAGTACTATTGTCAACCAACTATTCTTAAATGTTCAAAATATGAAAAATTCTTAAAGACTAGAACAACTAACTAGAGCAAATTTTTTTAAGGCTTCTGTAATAAGGGATATGTTTTTTAGCAAAATACCTTCTAAAGGGAATTGATCTATTGGTATATGATTAGCAGGTTCCAAAGAAAAAAGTGTAATACAGAAATATTTGCATAAAGGAGCATCATCACTAGGAAATTATAAGAAATTAAATAAATAAAATCAATATTAATAACTGATAGTTGAATATTTTACTTATAGTTTACACACTTAAGGATTTATTCATAATTTTAAAGGGCATACCAATAAAATTAGAACATACAACATCTGAAAATATCACACAAAAATAATTCAAATAATTAAAACTAATTCAAAATTACAAAACAATGAAAAACATCAATAAAAAGTATATTAGGACATGCTCAATTTTATAAATGCCTTTCATAAGTTGTTTTGGTAAAAGTTAAGCTAACAGTTAATATCATAATTCATGAAATCATTTAAATAACTCAAAATATAAATCAATATTAAAAATATTTTACTTTTTATTTGGAGTTTCAGCGAAACATTTCAGAGATGAAGTTTCAACTACTGTTTCACAGAAGCAGACTACAGGATCAGCCACTTTTATGTCTATGAAGAAGATTAAAAAAAAAACCTTTTCTATACATATGAAATTGATATTATTTAGCACTTTTATAGCAGTTTTTAATTTTGGTTCTAAATGTGTAAAAATCAAAACATTAATTTTACATAAGTGACTAATTACACAATCAATTTAAAGCAATAAAACTTTATGCAGATGAAAACAAATATATAATATCCCAGTATTAAATAACCACCAACATAAATTAAACAATGCACAAACAACTTTACAAAGCTTTTAACTGTGCATTAAAATATTATAAAAGCTAATTCTATAACATAGATGTTGTCAAGAACTGTCAATGGGATATAATATTGGATTATTTCTATCGGTTAATTAAAAGTTCTAGTTTAAATACTACTAGTAAAAATATTACTGGGTAAAAAACTTCAGTTAGCATTAGCATTATACACAGCCACAAGACAGAGATTAATTTTGAATGATGCATCTCATAAAGATTCCCTAAAACAACTTTACTATACTAAGAACTAAAAGTGGAATGAACAAAATAAATAGAAACTTAAGTGGCTATTATAAATTGTTAGAATCTTATACACACAATTTAAAACAGATTCCCTGATATCATGAAAATAATATAACTGCCTTGAAATTTAAGAAATATTTCTTATGGTTAATTACATGCAAATGATTAGGCTCAGTCATAAAATTAAGACATTGTTTGTGTTAAATTCCCCATCTATCTCTTACTTTATTAATAAATGTGAACGTTTTTCAAACTAAAAAAAAAAAAAAAAAAGCTATCACAATATCTATGAACATAAATATTCATTCATTTTATACATACCTATTTCAGAATACATCTTTCTTAAATCATGCATTACACAGTCTAAGTACAATTCACCTGTTCCTAGAATAATGTGCTCACCAGATTCCTCAATCTGGAACAACAATAAAGCAAGACCTTATTACAACATGCTCCTGAATTAATATTTGAAAATAGAAACAACATATTTTCATCCCATATTCTAGTATATTTAAAATGTTACTGTTTGTTAAGAAGAAAACTCTGCTTTTCAAGGTGTATTTAAAGAAAATTCCAGTCTACATGCGTAGTGCGCGTTGACTGTGCAGAGAGGTAAATTAATTATAGTACCACTTGAAAACACAAATTTTCCAATTACATATGACTCATATATATATACATAAGTAATGATTTTGAATGCGCGGTCGAATGCTGGAACTCTCAACAGCTTTCGATGTCCATCATGGCTGATGGTTAAAGCATACTGATGAAGATAACAAAAACTGGATTTCTATAAATCACCAAGCTTTATTTTCACACATAATCAAATCATTTCTTAGAAGATAGGACATTTCTAGATCATAAGCAATTACAATATTTTTTATATGCATGTTATATCATCTTAGAATGAGAATAAAGGAGGGCATAGCAAAACAGAGATGTTTGCAAGGCCGAAGCTAGGAAATGAATGCAGCAGAATAATGACGTAGTTATTGTGCCAAGAGTATTTATACTAAGTTTGATGCAATTGTACAGGCAAGCTATAATTAATTAACATTAGTTTTAGTTGCTCTTTTTCAGAAGCGTTACATAACATAGAAAGATCTCGAATTTGAGAGAACAGATGAATTTAGGAGAAGAGCACTAAATCCAGAATGTTAATTATGAGATCATCAAATATTTTTAAAGCAGCTATTGTATTTTTTTATATCTTACACACACATACACACACACATATATATAATCCCCAAAACATTACTATTATAACTATAATAAGAGTAGTTTTTCCACTGAAGATTGAGATTAGAATCTGCCCAATCTGGATTAAAATTGTCTTTTTTTGCAGACATTTTGCAGCTAAACGAAAGAAATACATAATAGTATTTTAAAATAAATTCAGGTTTGGTATTTTTTTCTCTTGAAAGATCTTGTGATTTTGCTCAGCTTTAGCTTCACTAACAAATTTAAAAAATGCTTTGGTATGTCATCATACGGCTGGAATTAGTTTCAGAGAAAATTGCCTGAAATTTGAGAGTATTAAAAACTAATAATAAATAAATTTAGAAGGAAGACACCACATTAAATTACAAATGACATTAAAATAAAATTAATTACTTAAAGATTAAAAACTGAATTACAGTAATTAAAGACATTTTAGGGAATATAGTTATATGAAATAGTTCACCTAGATGATTGATTACTATTTTTTATTTCACTACAAACTGATAAATAAGGAATTTATTAAAAAGAAAAAAAAAAAAGGTTTAAAAGATTTTGTGGTAAAATCCTAGTATATAGTACAGCCTTGGCACGATTTTGAAAACTGTTGCCAACACCAAAATGACCCATTTACTGCTCATCATAAGCATCCAGTTTACTGCTCATCATAATGTCACCAAATCCAATGTGTACCATATACTAGGATTAAACCGTTTTTGTTCTATACGAGAATGGAAAGGTATTTTCTTTCGTTCAATATGCACTGCACATGCGGATCCATGCGATTCTTGAGGTTACTGGAATTACTGGAAACCAAACTTACTATACCTTTCCAAAAGACAATCTGATTGAAGCTGCAAAAATTGGCTCTATGCCAGCTGCCTGAATGACACTAATGTGATACATAATTCGCCAAGAGTGTGATCGCTCCCAACACTGGTGTAAAAAGCTTTTTTTTTCCCTGGGTGGGGGGAATGATGATTGCTGCATGAAATTCTTGAACTTTTTCAAATTTTGACTAAAATTTTAAATTCCTTGACTTTTTTAGTTAATTTTCGAATTCTCTGACTTTTCCTGGTTTTCCAGGTAGTGTGGCAACCCTGTTTACTCTAAAACTACACTTTTAGAAAAATAAATATACTAAAATAATAAAATGAAAAAAATAATATAAACAAAATTATTTACATCAAATTTATACCTTAAATAGTTTCTTGAAATTACAAACTTATACATTTTATTTTAAGAGAAAATATAGGAAATATATAGAAATATTAGTACAATAATGACATGTGTAAATCCACAAAGTATATATGCTTTTGTTATAATAAACCAAATTTTAAATTTAAATTAATTCAGAACTGTCCAAAAATTTCACACAATTATTTCTAAAAGTATTTTGTTACCTTTGTACTTAAAAGTGGATACGATTTATTAACTTTTCTAAGTCCACCTAACATTTTAGGAAGTTCAGAAGGATTGACAGGCTCCACAGCAATTTTGATGACAGAATTTGTATTAAATTTGAGAGGTCGAAAAATGTATAATTCTGAAGTTTCATTTGTGTCAACTATAGTAGCTGTCTTCACAATAGGTTGATCTATACCTTCAATCAGGACCCAGTTTCCTGCTGGAACTCTATTAACTTCTATCTTGTACCTGAAACAAAAATTTAAATGCAAATAAGCAATAACTTCTGATTTTTTACTGTCAATATTTTAGAGAAATTTTGTTAAGATATTAAAAACATGGAAAATCTTTTAATTTTGTAACCTGAAAACATAGCCCTACTAAATTACATTCTGAAACATAATACAGTCAAAAGTCTTTAATCCGGACTCATCGGGACTTCGGCGATTCCGGATTATCGATTTTTGCGGATTATAGATCATCAGTTTAAATCTCGTAAGATGGCAAGCAGAAATTAGAAAATTAAAAATATGAAACCGTAATTTATGAAATAAAGAGCAATTATGATCTAAAGGGTATCAAAATTACAAAAAAAAAAAAAAAAAAAAAAAAAAAAAAAAAAAAGCTTAATATTTATTTGTTTACTTTATTAAACATTTCTTTCAACCGGCGCATGCGTAAAGCAAACATTACGCATAGTCGAAATTAGAAAATCGCAACCAGAAAACTATTTCATGTGTATTCGTGATATTTATAATGACAAGAAATTTGATTTAAATCATATCAAAAACGGAGATGAAATACTACATTCAGTAAGGAATTATAAGCCGAATAAAATAAAAACATCTGCCCTAAGATAAGGATAGTGCTAACAGATCAACTTCCCCCCCCCACAGAGCAGCGTGAAATTGATAAACAGATTTCGGAATGGTTAGAGAAACAAAGGATATGCCTTTATCCATTTTTTGCAGCAATTCCACTTTTTATTTGATGGACATCGAAACATGCTTTTGCTTTGTAGATCCTTTGGCAGCTCCAGAATCGGAAATTCTATTTGACATAATCGAAAGTTCAAGTTTACTTTTATAAAATTGCTCTAACAGTCTGCAAAAAATAATAAGTCGGATCCAATTCGAAGACTAAGAAACAACGCAATCTGCAACATTATACATGCGCATAGGTGTTAGATAATTAGATAATTTTAGCTTAGCTTATACCGTCCGTTATACATTAAACGCACATGCGTAAAGGTATTGTATTGCATAAACGCATTAATGCGGTTATGCATGCAAAGTTTGTAGCTTTGAGGTCCGGATTATAGATCATTCCGGATTAAAGACTTTGACTGTACCAGTAAAAGAATAAATCCTTCAGATCAGTACTTCATGATGAAAATAGTAAACAGAACATACTGAGAAGAGAACAAAGTGATGAGAAATGGTAAATTCCTTTTCTAAACAAAATACACTTGTAAAATAAAAAATTTCTAACTAAAGAAACACAGATATGATTTAATTCTCAACATCAAATACAAAACACAGCTATGGAGCAAGCAAGATCTAATTAATCTGAAATAGATAAATATAATGCATTTATATTATTCTAAAACTGGTCAAGCCCACTCAACAACTTTACTGTTTATTAAAAATGGCAAACTGGATGTTAAAATAGTAGATTACAGTTATTTCACTATTAAAAATCCTAAAACACTTGACAATAAAGTCAATTATCAAATACTACAGTATGTTTCTTTAAAATAAGCTGTTTAGGTCTAGCTAAAGCAGGTTTCGTACACATTTCTGCACACGGAAATTAAAAAAAAAAAAACTTTTAAGGACCGTTAATGAAAAAAATTAAGGACCTATGAGCAAATGGGAACTGAATAAATTCAATTGAAGATATTATCTATGCCTAATTTTCCTTTTGCAATACCATCCTAAAAATAAAATAGATAGATAAAATAGATCCTAAAAATAATAGTAGTACGCATTATTGCTAAACATGAATTAATTAACATAATTGTTAATAAGTTTGAGAATAAAATAAACTTTATGCAATTTATCAAGTAGCATTAAATATTTTACACTTATAATTGTTGGGCATATTTGAAAGAAGATAAGTGACATTTACGTTTTACTAAAAGTTGTATTATGTTGATTTTTGTTACGTCTCATTTTGTCACGTACTTGGTCAGTCTAGAGGTTTAGTAAATAGCAGGTAGATTTTATGTCAAACTGTATAGGTTAAAATCAGAAGTAAGATCATAATCAGCATGATTCATAACCAAAAGAGTGAATGTTGTCACCACTGCTGCTTGTCTAGAGAGAGACCTGCTGATTAGAACGAACCTGAAAGGCCTGATGCAGGTAAGGTTGGCAAGTGTTGAAAGTTAGTCAGGTTCTGTTTCATGCAGTTAGTGTTGTAGCTTCGTGTACAGTTCCAGGGGTTATAACCCAGTTAATATACTTTAAGGTTCCAATAAGCCATTAAAGCACCAGAGGTGATAAGTTGTTTTGTATTATTTTAAGTAGATGCATAGAATATGTTTTACTTGAATTTTTACATTTTTATAATTTATCTTGAGACCACAGTGAGTATTAATGAAAGGCAATAACTCGCTTTAATATGCAGAGATAAATTTTAAGTGTAAGCAGTTAGTTATAAATAATTACATTAGGTATTTTGATAACCATTATGGATTTACATGACCACTATTAAATTTTATTTTTTAACCCTATTTAAATCAAAATCTAATAAAATTTCATAGTATAAAATGTATGTAATTAAAGTATAAGTTTCTTGAATGATATTAAGATAATTATATAAAGCTACAGAACATTTATGTTTTGTAACAACAACAGTCAACAAAATATTTATCCGTCATTTAAATTTGAAGCCTTCCCAGACAATTTTGGCTATTTTATATTGAATTTCCTTCTCTTTAAGCATCTTTTCTAACAATTAGAGAATTTGTCTCAATACGCAAACCAATGCTCCTCACTAGTTTCCTGCGTGCTTTATCTCCTAACTTGTCAACCTTCTCCACAATGTACCTATGAGGGTTTACTTCATCTGGTAAAAGTTCAATAGTCCAAAACTCCCAACAGACGTGAAGCATAATTATCGCTATGTCTGAAATTAACTACAAAGTCAGACAAAGATTTAAATATGACCTCTTATTTAAACAGAGATTTAGAACATAAAGGCATGTTCTGATGCTAACAAAATCAATTACATCTCACGGTGACATAATTAAACAAGAACAGTCAAATTCAAACTAATAATGTGGACTAGTGGTCAAAGATTATACAATTTAATTTTAATTTAATCTGGCTCAATAACTCTATCATATGAGGAAATAAAAATGGGGAATTATAGTAAAGGTTGAAATCATAAACAATTGGGTTACATAATAATAACTGTGCATATCTTTGAAGAATAATTTCCTTTATGTATTCAGTTTCATTCTTCAACACGTTTCCTTTTCCTTTTAGAATGTTTGGATTTAATTAAGGATTTCTGTTATTCTAAAAAACACTAAATGCATTTAGAATGTACAGAAAAAGCAGCTAATTTTATTTCTTTAGTAATATGAACATTCAGAAGCAATATGAAATATATATAGTAAAGGCCAGCTAGAGCTGATGTGGCAGAATTTCTAGAATTTAGTGACACAACAAACTACAAAATCTAGAAATGGCAAAACGTTTAGGATTTATAGCAAGCATTGAAAGCAGAATTTAGAAAGGCACTAGGCAGCAGAATTTAGGAATCCACTGAGAATTGCATCATGTGGGAAAATGCCTTGTGCAGCTCTGTTTATGATGCATTAAGACAATATTAGATGAACGTTTAAATTGTTAAGTCTTTCAATTTCTTTATTAATAAAAAAAATTCCCTTTCTAGTTAATGGCCTGCCCATGTGATGAAAATCAGAGCATTTTTGATATTTCCATGCATGCTGTCTAGTTAAAAGTAGACAAAATAAAGAGAAGATAAATATGTTAAGATTCTAGTATCAGAAGTAAAACATTTAAACACAGTCAAAAGTCGTTAATTCGGACACCCATAATCCGGGATGATCTATAATCCGGATCTCAAAGCTAGAAACTGTCTGCGCATGCGGCGCGTTGACACATGCGCATAGGTGTTTACGCGTGCGCGTAAGACCTCTTACGACTGCGCATTTGAGTGTGCGCAAGCGCAGAATACGTTTTCGCGTGCACGTTTTATGTATAACGAACAGTATAAGCTAAAATTATCTAATTATCTATTTCAGTTAATGTTGATGATTGCGTTGTTCCTTAATTTTCGAATTGGATCCGGCTTATTATTTTTTGCAGACTGTAAGAGCAATAGTATAAAAGTAAACTTGAACTTTCGATTATGTCAAATAGAATTTCCGAATCTGGAGCTCCCAAAGGATCATACAAAGTTAGTGAAAACGAAAAAATTTCGATTGACAAGTTAGTCGGTATTCTCGGCACAGCAATTAACGGGACTTGAAGAGCGGAACTTTGTAACTGAACAAAAAATTATGTCTGTTTATAGAATTAAAGAGAAAGTATTATCACATAAAACGAAGCAACTTAAACAACTTACATTGAAAGAAATGTTTAATAAAGTAAACAAATAAATATTAAGCTTTTTTTTTTTTTTTTTTTGTTTTTTTTAGTAATTTTTGATACCCTTTAGATCATAATTGTTCTTTATTTCATAATTACGATTTCATATTTTTAATTTTAGAATTTCTGCATGCCATCTTACGTGATTTAAACTGATGATCTATAATCCACAAAAATCGATAATCCGGAATCGCCGAAGTCCCGACGAGTCCGGATTAACGACTTTTGACTGTATTACGTTTTCATTGTTCTTCCAGATGTTCTCCAAAAATTAAGAAATTCATTGCAAACTGTAAAATACATCCATTACGTGTTGATACCATGGAGACATTTTTCATTTTGTCATATATTTCTCGAATCTTCTAGAATCGTGGGTCTAAAAATCTCGCCTTCAAGTCCTTCTAAACTTTCCAAGCTGCTATGTCTAAAATCCTAAAGAAAAATTATCCCTACCAATTCTGTAACAGCAAAAAGCCAGGAATATTTTGAGAAAAATAGGAAGGAAAAAGTATAAAATTAATTTTATAGAGAAAACTGATGCATATTCTGAGAATTTTGAATATTCTGAGACAATTACATGGGAAAAACTTTTACTATGAAAAATATAAAATGAAGACATTTTTTAATTAATTATATAGCTAGTTTTGCTTTTGCTAAGAGCTGTTTCGTAAATTGTGCTTTATAGCATTATACCTTGTTTATTTTTCAGATTTAAAATATTGTATAATAAGTTGCCATAATGAAACTTTATAATATTACAGCAAAAAATAAAAATGTCTTATTTCAATGTTATTTTTTAAATATAATTTCAATATATTACCATAATTTTAATGAAATTTATTAATGTTATGATGTTTTAAAAAATCGTTGAAAAATTCTCCGATCTCGGAAGTCTTAAAATTGCCAAAATGTTGAAAAGTCGCCAAATTTAGAACTGTTTAATAAAAGAATTGACATCCCCAAAAGTGAAAAGTTGTTTAAGAACTCTTTACTAGAAAAAATGAATTTCGAAAGGCTTATGTTTCACTTCTTGCTTAGAAACTTGAGTATCCTATCATTTATATTAGAAATAGAAACAAATTATATACGGCAGTGAATCGCCAAAAATATTCCTCAAAATGCTAATTCACACTCAAAATGACAGTCGTAAAAACAGACGAAATTTCAGATGATTAAAATTAAGGACCTTCTGCTGATTTTGGCCAAAATCATTTTTTGGCCAACTTTTAAGGACCAAAAATCGATTTAAAAAAATCTAAGGACTTTTAAGGACTCTTAAGGACCGTAGGAACCTGTAAAGTTAAACACACTAAATGGAAATGGAGAGTGAGAAAAGAATTAGGTAGCTGAAACCATCTGTTGCAGCTCTTCTTCCCAGGGTTATCAGGCAATCTGAGTGGCAGAAAATGACTGAAGTTTCTATTTCAAAGTAACAGACTATAGGAAGTTTTCACTTATACCTTCAATTCTAAACTAAAAAATATTGAAGCAGTAATTTCAACCTAAAACTGAATTAAAATGTGATTTTCTATTTATTTTTAATCTTAACAAACATGCTCCAAAATAATGAAAATATCAATGTTTTTAATGAAAAGCAAAACAGTGCTAGAAGTGAGAGAAAATATGTTTCTTTGGATATAACTTTTGTAAAATTTTAGGACACATGAAAATAATATTTCATTGGTATACAGTAAACCCCTTCTGATTATCAAATTTAATCTTTCAGGGAAAATCTGATCTTTCTGAATATTTTACAAATTACCTATCTTATATTTAAGCTAAAGGACTGAAAAAATAATTGGAAATATGAACATTTCTGTACATGATTCATGACTACACTTTTAGAGCTTATCTGCTTTTCAAAAGTAATATGAAAAATTTCTTATAAAATATTGATAAATTTATAAATTAAGGAAAAAATATTTAAAATAAATAAAATACAGAACACTTGCATACAAAAAGTTTTCGGGAAATCATAGGAAAATTTTTCTAAACCATATTTCTAGTTATTTGATTTTGAAATTCTAAGTTTCTGTTGTTCTTGTTGAGCATTGCATTCAGTCAGTTTGATACATACGGAAAGAAATCATTTCATTAATTATTGCTGAAATTCAACAATTCTGATTTCATCTGTACTATTTTCATTAATGCTTTTCATGGATTTCAAATTGCTTCACTAATTGTTTCTGTGTGGCATACTTTACTTTAACAATAACTTTATTTTGTGCAGTTTTTTAGCAAAATTCTTTCATTTTGATCATTCAACTTCTTACCATTTTCTAGTTTCAGCCAGTCTTCAAACTTGAAAAGCTTATTTTTTTCCTTAATCAACAAGAGCAGGAACTTCATCAGATTCACATTTCTTGCTGTTTCATATTTTTTAACATATTATTATTATTCATATAGACTATTCCACATGTGATTTTCTAAATTGATCTAATAACTCTTCATTAATTTTAGTGGCTCAAAATCATGTAAAAAAATGCATCTTTTCAAATTCGAAATAAAGCTGACAACAATGATCTACCTTTTCTTCGAATGCTGTTATTAACCACAAATTAATTTTCAGATTATAATATTTATAACAGTATAACCTTTAAATCCTTTAATTATTTTTTAATATGATAAAAAATAATTTTCAAATTCCTCCCCTTCCTTAAACAATCTGTAAAAGTTTTCTTCATATGATTACAGGGGGAAAAAAAACTTTTATGAACAATTAAAAAAATCTACTGTTCTTTTTATGTTATCTGTTATAAGCCATAAATTGCATAAAATAAAAATCAAAAGCTCCCCAAATTCAGTTAACATGCACGTGTCTCTTTCTTTTTAACACTAAAATGAGCCATTTCTCCCAAAAAGTCCTCTACAAAGGCATTCCTCTTCTTATGTTCTGCCATATTCAAATAACCTAACCTTTATTCTGGTGCTATTTGATTTCAATTAGGCTTTTCCTTCCTTCCTTCCTGCATTCAAAAGAAACAGTTCTCCCTCCAATCTGGAATATTTTATACAAGATAAATAACATCTCTCTTTTTATCTACAGAATTCAAGGGATTATATTCATTATTTTAATGAAATATAATATTTTTCCGTATTTGTTCACCAGCTCGGAGCAAATGATTAACGTATTTTTGAAGTTTATCTAGGATTAAATGTACTGAGAAAAGGTAAAAAGTTGCTAACTTAATAAACCTACAGAAAATATAAACATGAAAAACAGTTTAGTGCAGTGGTATTCAAACTATTGGTCATGACCCCATTAGGGGTAGCAACAATTTATAGTGTGATTGCAAGGTGGATAAAAATCTTAAAAAGTCTGAATTGTTGGTATATAAGCAAAGGCTGATGCTCTGATTGGGATCACAGCATTGATTTTGAGGATTGCTTTCAAATAGGGGCCGCACTGCCATAAAGTTTGAATACTACTGGCTTAGTGCATCAAATTACATTGTAATATTCTGAAAATAGTATAGCCATGCAGTCTATATTGTATCATTAGAAAAATACCAGAAAATAATAATGTTGATAATGAGGAAACAGTTAAATTTCTAATGTTGAAATGGATAAAAAACTTATTTATTAAACCATAAAAATTAAGTTAGTCTTCTTTACCTCTCATGGATATGTAATATCTGCTAGGCTCTTTCATGCCTAGGACGGTTAAAAGAAACAAATTCTGGAAAAACATGCAGATCAAGGTTAGACGTTTTTTGATTTGAAAACTTCAGTGATACATCCAGAAATTAGCTGCTCGCTAAACATGATATCATGGCATTTTGCTTAATTTATTGACGTTACAATATTTAGTGATTTACCAAATTTTCTGCTTCTAAGGACAACTAAACCATTATGTGTCTAATAAACCTATTTTTCTTAACGAATGTTAAATATTTAGTGAAGCAATCTCTAGTCCTTTAACAATGACCAAATAAACTTTTAAATGGGGAAAAAAATTAACACAGCAGAAGTTTCATAATTTTTAGAAAATATAATTGAGAGCAATAAAAATTTTTTTTGAATTTTAGGACAATTTAGAATGCTTTGATGAAATTTTAGGGCAATTCCAATCCCAGAACAAAAACAGAAAAACTTTATAAAGTCTATTAAATATGAACTTATTTAAGTCAAGAGAATGATGAAGATTCACAGACTCTAACAATATTATCTATAGAAGATAAGGTGAGTTATGTAATTGTCTTTAATGCATTTTTCCTGGTGGGGTTCACCACTCACCCCCGAGGCGCTGCAGACCATTTTTGTGATTTATTATTTAAATTTTTGCGATCTATTAATCTTCAAAACATTATATTAACAATGGTTATTATGTTATTATTTAAAAAAACTTATCTGTGTCGATATTTACTGTAATGATATATTTTTACTGTTGGTTGCGTCGCCGGTCACCTATGACCCTCACGGCATTCAACATGTTAATATATAATTATTTAATGCTTAAAATTCAACTACTCCATTCTTAGCACAAGTCAAAAATTGTAAAACATGATTATGAAATGTCAATATATAAATAATATAATTTTATTAGTTTGTTTCATATCTAAATATTCATCATATCTCAAAACAAATCAAATAAAGATACCAAATTTTACACATATGACAATAATATGGTAAAAATGAGTATATTAGCATTCATCACATGTTGAAAATTATTACACAAGCAAATCATACTGCACTGCAACTATGTGTAATTCATTATAAATGACGGAAAGTATTTGATAGATATCTTAAACTCAGTCATTAATCACAAGAAACCTAATTTCACATTTTGGATGATATATTATCTTCTTTAAATAAAACAATTTTATAATTATAAAGATTAAAAATAAAATTATCAATCATGTAAACGAACTGGAATCATTATTTGTTTTATAAAAAATATGATGCATTGTGCTTGGTTTAAAAGCTATCAACAATTATTAATATATTGAAATATTTCTGACATACCTGGCTTCAGATATCCATAAGCGCCCAACAGTTAAAATGCGAGAATCTTCTTCATCAGTCGAAGTATAAGTTTCACCCAAAATACGAACATCTTGATTAGCATGCAAAGTGCCACTCATAACTCGACCAAACACATGAAAACTAGTTGCATCTTGAGTTGAATACTGTTTGGTTGTGTGAACCATTAAGGGACCCTAAAAAATAAAATAAAGAACATTATCTAAAGTTAAAGCTACTTTTATTACATTTTCTTTATAACTTGCTGCTTCCAGCTCATGAATTTTCATATCGTATGCTAATACTCATTGCATTTTTCATTAAACAATGATTATTCATTCATTCAGATAAAGTACTTAATACTGCTTTAACAGCTCCAATTTTTGTAACAAATTATAATAATTACAAAAAGTAAATTTATACCTCAGGGTCACATTCAGCCATAGCATCAGCTAAATCACTTCCAGGTGGACCAGTATAAATGTGTCCAATTTTTAATTTTGCATTTGCAGATGGAGATGGTACATGATGTACACACATATCAACAAAACCTAGAATTGCAACAATAAGTTTTTTACTTAGATAATTAGCTATTTTATTTTGAAAGCAATATATTAAACTTTAGAATCTCAGTAACATATACATAGTAGGATTAAATAATCTAGAAACTAGGCGATCTTTCCCTACTGTGAATAGTTTAAGAAGCAGTACACCATTACCTTCAAAATTATTCCTTTATGTGATATACCATTATTTCAATGCCTCTACAGCTTTTGGAAACATCTGTTAACCATTTTGATATAACCAACTATAACATATTTAAAAAAATTAACCTCATTTGTTGACATATATCAATATTCCAGCAGATTTTGTTCTATCCGTGGAAAGAAGAAAAAGAGCACTGAAAACTGAGTGAATGGGTGAGATGCCATTATTCTGGAGACCATACATTAAAGAAATTCAGGCATGTTATAGAAAAAGTTACTAAAACTAAACTCAGTGGCACAACAGCCCTAGTGGGCCACGGCCTGCAGTGCCCCAAAATCTGCTTTCTTGACCTTGGGCCCCTGAGCGCATCAGCATATGCTCTGGGAAAGTGGTCAACTTGTTGAAGGACTCCTGGTGTTTAATCTCCAAGCGAAATTGGTACTCATTTTATCGATCCACTCAAGGACAAAAGGCTGAGTCAACCTTGCCCAGCCCAGGGATCGAACCCTGGACCAGTGGTGCAGCTGCACGATGCGCTAGCCACTTTTCCACCGGGCAATCGTAGAAAAAGTATTATTTTTTATTTCTCAGTAACATATACAACTCAGTCACTTTCCAGATGTCAAATCCTGGAAAAGAGGGATGGTATGATTGATTTTGGTTCGTGTAACTATATGTTTAGGTTGCCATGGATGTGCATAGTGCCAAAACTTTTAAAACTGTGTATATATATATATATATATATATATATATAAAGTAGTGGAGGAAGAAAAGGAAAGAGGAAATCAGACCTCAATACCTTACAAGAAACAAAAAATTAATAACAATATAAAATAGACAGACATTAATTACAATTTTGGCCAAATTATAAATTATGTTTCTCTTTAAAAAGCAATAAGGGTAAAAAATTAAAATTATATAAAACTTAATTACAGTTATATCTTTTTAAAATATTTTTAACGATATATAACTTTTCAAAGCATTTTAAAGAATTTATTAAATAACTACTTCCAAAGAGACTATTAAAAAACTACAAAATAATAAATATATTTCACATAACATTAAAATTACTAAGAATGACTATGTTAATTAATGTAAATATTTTTGGTTTTAAACAATAAAAAGGCAAATGATAGTTAATTTTTTAAAAACCTGTACTAATCATAGTTAATTTTAACTAGACAAAACACTACTGTTTTATGTGTACAAAATATTAAAAATGACATAATTGCAATACCATTAAAATCTCCAACAAATTTCGAACAAATTAAGCGTAGCAAAGGCCGAACATTCAATTTCATCTCAGTTTTTGTTAGTTTTATAGCTAATTCATCCAACAGTTGAGGTAGAGTGGTATCTACATCACCAACAACCTAAAAATAAATAATTTAATTACATTAATTAAACTCTACTTTCATTAAAATTAGTAAAAGAAAAGTATATGCTAATGTATGATAGAAATGAATAAATACAGTACAAAGTCCGAGACTCACAATCGCTGTGACTTTGCTGATTCTCCACCAATTTATATTCTTTATTAGCACATGTGTTCTTAGCTCTCCCTTTTCCTCCTCTACTGATTAAATAATTCTTATTATATTTTACTACTGGACAATAACTTACTCACAAGAATGAATTAGTGATGCAGTGTTCAGAATAATAAGAATATACTAATGTGCATCAATGTCATACTGATGACATAAATTCAACACTATTCTAAAAGTATAGATTTAATTCACTATTAATTTATATAATAACTATGTTAATCGAAAACTCATTGCTCTCCGCTCTACATTGATGTAATAACTAACCAGAAACTTCTGGATACCTGTGAAGTATTCTGGATTTTTACTTTTATAGTATTTTTAATAAATATACTAATTAAATTTGTCTGATCCAATAGCTAATATGCTATTTTATAGCTATCTGATGTAATGCCCAACTAGTGTGATGTCGTTTAATATATATATCTACAAGAAGGCTTTTGTAGTGGTCATAAAGGTTTATCAAATTTTCAAAGCATTTTTATTACAGGCACAGAATAACAGATACTCCAAACAAACAAACAAAACAAAAACAAACAAACAAAAAAAAGTTAAACTCCACTGGGTTGCATAAAGTCTCCACACATGGCAAAAATAAACACATACAGTTCATAAAAACTCGAATTCAGCATCATGGAGTGAAAAGTAAAAGGTGAAAAAAATACAACCATGGTGACACAATACGTACTTGGATATACAAAATTCTGCCAAAAATGCCCCATCATATACCAACAACTCATCAAGAATCATCAGAGGATGCTTAACAATTCAGCATAAGAAACATATTAGTTGCATCACTGAAGAATGAAAAAAAAATTTAAGCTGAAGTTTCTTTTATATACTAGTGTATAAGTACAGCATCAAAAACATGAAGCACTGAATTCTGTCTGCATGGTAATCATTGCCCAGGAAAATGGATGATACTGCATAATCTTGGATGTATTTGCTCGCACGATCCTGGTTTCCCAGTGTACCACATGTAACTTCAGTAATTCATTATTGTGCAAAGTTTATAAAATTACCTATGTAATGGATTCACACAATTAATATTTAGTTATGTAATTATTTAGAACAGTTCAAAAATGAAATGAGGCAGTTTATGTGTTGAATGGCTCAAGTGATTGTAAGGGGGAAAGTTGCTGCAGGATTGTTGAAATAGCTACGAAAACTCTCTCTAGAACCACACAGGAAGAGTAAGTTCTAATTTAACTAGTAGATCAAATAAATAAGTGACAAAGAAACATGTGAGTAAAATAAGATGAATTAGGCACAGACCTCTTCCAATATATTCAGTACAGTAATCTTAAAAAGGGTTTGCTGGAGAGCACATTATACTGTTTTGTTTTTTAATAAATGGGAAAAGTATGCTCTAAAATGAAAATATTACATGTTATCAAGAGTATATGCCAGACTGGTTGCATGAGATGTAGAAACCCACCATCGCAAAAGGAACAAATTTCAACTTATACCTATTTTCCCTCTGAAATCTAAAGTTTGGTACCTGGAGGAAATTTTTTTTATTACACTTTGTAATACAAATAAATTGACAGTTATTAAATGTTACAATTTCACATTGACATTTATTTAAAATAATTCTAACATTTACAGCTTGATGATTGATGGCATTTCAAATTTGCTAAAGTTTGTAGCTACAGAAATTACAAGAAATTATCTTCATTATGGACTGTAGATAATCATTGGTGAATCTTTTTTTCCCTTATTAATTTTCAACTGTGAAAAAAGTTAATCACATATAAATGTAATCTCACACAAAGCAATTATTGCAAAAATGTGTAACTGATTTACTTTTTAGGCAAATACTCGTAAAAGTTAATCAAGTCTGGATCTTCAAATCTCAGAATAAGATTCATATCCCATTCTGAATTCGTTAGTTCCATTCATAGATTTTCTGATGCACTATTCATGCTAGTTTTCAATACTAATGATAATAATATAAACTCGAAATTCAAGTAATTAAAATTCTGAAAAAACTGTATCTGCAATGAAGTCATGATTCTTTGCGGGCCATATAAAATTGCTTTAGCTGCCACATGCAGTCCACAGGCTGTCGATTTAAGATCATTGCTTTAGATCAATGTCATACAAAAACAAGTTATCAGTAAATTAGAAAATAGTTCTAGTAAACATTAGGTAGCAGGATGCAATTCAGTGGATATGTGCATGGCAACTTAGTGACCAAACAACACATTCACAGAGGACACAAATTCATATATTAGTTGCTGGTGCCAAAGTGTACTTTCACTTTGTGGTACAATATATGGTTTCTATGCCACAAACTTCAGTCACTTCAAAGACACTAAGGTACTGAAAGTGCAATTACCATGCCCAAAAGGAAAGAAAACCATCAAATGACAAAAACTAATGCCTAATCCCTTCTACCACTTAATTGACATATACACAATTTGGTGCTGATGCCAGGGGTCTAAAATCTATGGCCCTAGGGCAGAATCTGGTCCACGAGCACTAATGATCTGGTCTGCCAGGGGTTTCTTTAAAATAATTTTATAAAATTTAAAGTAACAAATAATATACACATTAACTACTATTTTACATAACAGCCAATCTAGAAATGCATTGCCTATCATGCAGGTGCTTTATAAAACAGATTATAAACATTATACAACCGTTTCTAAATTTACAATATGTGAAATACAGTAACACCCTATATAAAAAGTCTCACATGGTCACATATTGAGTTCCTGATACATCCTTTAAATTACACACATTTTTTCCTGTACTTCATTTAAGCTTATTTCCAGAAATTTCATTAGAAATATTTTTCTCATTCAATCAATTCTCATTTCGAAACAAGGCAAAAATACATAAAAACTCAAATATCTTCAAACAAAGCAAGAGTTTAAAATGTAAACAAATGGCGACTTCATTAGGCTTAGTAGCACTTAAACAACTTAAATTGTTGATAATTCTACAACTATTGCATACAGATTAATTAACATCATAAAAACCTTAACTGGAATATAAAACTGAGCTCCTCGAACCAGGTAACAAAGTGGGTATACATAGAGGGAGACTTTTGAGGCAGCCGATTGCAAACAAAAAAGGAGGTGCACAACTACATGTTATAGTAGTCCTACGTACAAAATTTCAACATTTTCAGGCTACTCGTTTTTGAGTTACGCGGAGAACAGATGTCACGAAAAAACTCTCCGGAATACACTTTAAATCAATCCATATTACATACCATTTTGGGAATTTCCTTTATGCTGTCTGTATATACAGATGTAACACACAAACACACACACACACACACACAAAAAAAAAAAAAAAAAAAAAATCATTAAAATGAATTCGAGAGGGGTCAAAATGGATATTTTTGTTAAAATATGATATCCTAAATGTTTTGCAGTTACAATACTTCCTTTACTTCATACAAGGAGGAAAAAATTCTCATTGTTCTTCTTACAAGAATGAAGGTTTCACGTTATCTTTCCTACTTTTATAGTAGTATTTAAGGTTGGTTCATAGAAATTTTCAGCAGCGATTTTATTTAAAACTTAATTTTTGTTCTGTATATGTTGTGATTTATTTTAATTTTGGAGATGTTTTTATCATATAAAACTTGCCCAAAATATGAAATACTTATGAGTGAAAGTTTGCACCTGATCAAATTTTGCTGATAAATTGTGACAAGGGGGGGTGTAAATCCACTGAAAAATAAAGTGCACACTAAACCGAAGAAATCTCCAATATTCTGTGGCAAAAATGTATTTTTGCAAATTTTTAAAAACAGCTTTAAGAAATTTATGTTAGGTGAAACTGTATGAAAGTCCTAAAAATAAGGCTCTTTGTAAGATCATGGCATATAGATCCAATCACAAAAATCTCACTGACTTGTTAAAAAATGTGTATACTGTTCCTCATAGCTGCATCACCGTGATGGTTCCATAAAAAAGCCAATATGGCCCTTGAGCTGAAAAGTTTGGAGACCACTATAGTATACGATCTACTGCTTTTGTGAATTAAGCTGTAAACTATCAAAAGAGCTTGGAAAATATGCAAAAACTGAATCATGCTAAGGGACTTTATAGAATTTTCATTTTATGTATTCTTAATTATTTACAATATTTATTTTCGCATTTAAAACTAATGTTTTAGTGGTACTACATAAAAAAGTAACTAACTAAAAGCAATAGATCACATACTACATCAAAACCCAAAATCGGTCAAAATTATTATGTTGTTTCCGTAATTATGAAGAGTTACTTTACCATTTTACAAACATGTCTACTCCAAAGTAAAACATAACTTTGATTTGAAATACATAAATAAATATTCCGAAAAACATAAATTCACAATTTTCAGTTTTAGGAGCATTAAATGGTGTGTAAGAAACTTTTAAGATAAAGGATTGCATCAATATCAGGGTTCGTAGCCACATTTTAGTTAAAAAAATAAGCACCTATAAGCACTTTTCAAGCACATTTTAAGAAAAAAAATAAGCACCTGTCTAATTACATTATACACAACTGCATAACCTTAAAAGAAAAATTAGACTTGTAATTTAAAATATGAGAAATGCAGTATTTATTAAGAGAGATAAGCATTACCTCAACCATGGAAAATAATTACTTTTTTTTTTTTTTTTTTTTTTTTTTTAATTTTAAATAACAGTTCAATTTACAGAACTAGTTTACAATGAGAGAAAAAAAAAAAAAAAAAAAACTATGCAGAACTAAACTATATTACAAGATTTAATGATGAAATTTCAGTTCAAAATAGAGAAAAAAAATAATAATAAGGCATATTTATTGTATTTGCTTGGAACCTAATAATAAATACAATTTATTTTTCCACTCATATTAATATTTAAATAATTTAAATCTAAATTCTGAATATTTTCTAAATTTTCATTGTATATCAGTTTTCTCTTAACAGATATTGCAAGCAAAGTAATTTAAGTAAAAAAGAGGAACATTTCTGAAATCAGAAGACAGGAAATTTGCTTCATGCAGTCATCCTTTAACAGTAAAAGCTTAACTAACCCGCATACTTGGAAACTGGAATTTGCCGAATATTCGGACATAGTTGAGCGTAACTTGAAAAAGAGGAGAGGGGGGGAGATTGTAGCCACTTTTTAGATTTTTCCGCTAAATAAATGCTTTTGACATTTTGATATGTGAATCATATAAAAATAAACCAATGGAACTGAAAAATATTCTGCTTAGCAAGCACAGTAAAACTCTTTTAAGTGTTCATAAACAAATCTCAAACAGAACATCAAAATTAATTAATTATCTCTGCAAAATATCGCAAACGTTATTGCACAATACGTGTGCGGCATAATTCTTCCCTACGTGATATTACGCAATCGGAATCAATCAACAGCTGCTGGTAATTGGGAGAATAAAGAACTAAATAAAGGAAAAGAGAGAGACTTACTAATCTGGGGTGTTTTTCATTCTAATTTTCAACAGACGGCGTTAAATTTCCGCAATAGAATCATTCTTCGCTTGGGTTGGTAGACCGCAGAACTTTTAGTCCTATTCAATCCAGATCCAGACAAAAAAAAAAAAAAAAAAAAGTCCGTGCTGAGCGAACGTTGTAATTTCAACTTTTGCGAACAAAAAAACCTCCCAATCTTCCGCACTATATAATGTATTGGCCAAAAAAATTGAATATTCGATTACTTTCCCTTTTTATTTAAGCCATTCCGAGTATTATTCCTAAAAGCTAATCTGTGTAAAATACAACCATTTTTGGAAAGTTTACTATACTTCAGCAGTTACTGCAACTGTTATTATATAAATTTCATACATATACTCATAATATAAGCATAATGATCATAATAAACACAAATATGAACTGACCAAGCGGAACGAGAATGCAAATTATTAAGATCTGGATAGAAATTTAAACGTGTATAGTATTTGGGTGGGAGGAAAAGAATGCCGAATGTACCGAAATTTTTTACTACTTTTTCGCAATTCTTTGACCAATATAACGACGGGCACCTGTCTGTACTCTTTGTGCGCACCAAAGGTTATGTTAATGCAGAGAAAGGGGGAAAAGCTATTTCCGGGAGTATGATTCACCACCTGACATTCAATATAAGGAGAAAAGTTGTTTATTTAGTTTCGGCTTTGGTAGGGGGAAAAATGCGCGTTCATTAAAAAAAGCACTAAAAGCAAAAAATAAGCACTAAAAACCAAAAATAAGGGTTTTAAAGAAAAAGTAAGCACCTATAAGGGCCTTTATATTTTATTTTCAAATATAAGGACTTATAAGCACTAGTAAGGACACTACAAACTCTGAATATGCATAGTTTCTAACTATCATAATTAATCACATTTATTTATTGAAAAAAATGTAAAAAGTATAAGATTTTTAGAATACAGCCTATCAAAATAATTAATGGAATACCTGAGCAAATAATTTATACAAAGGTTCTAAAATGAACTCCACAAAACTTCTCTGGACTGAACTATGAGGAGGCTTCTTTGTAAATTTACGCCTAGAAGATATTATTAAAATTAAAAAGTAATTTTAAATTTATCAAAACTTTCCCCAGTTTAAAGAATTATAACATATACTAACATATATTATAACAATATTCCAGACAAAGATGACTTTAAAGCACAGGGAAAAATTACAAATAATATATTAAGTTACTTCCAAGGAAAAGCTCAATATTATTTTTCCATGTTAACTCTGCAGTTAAAGGTGTAAATTAAAAATAATTCATCTACAGCAGTATAACAATAATCGCAAAAATATACTTTTAAAAACATTTTTATACATGAAATATCATCATAAAGAAATATAAGCCTAAAAATAACAAACTATGCATTTATTTTAAACACATATTATTTTTAATAATTTCAAAAAACATATTAATGTTTTGAGGTGTGACTATGTATACGTACGTTTTACTATTAAAGTAGATGTCTCCCCACAAACGCTTGGCAAAATCTGGAACGCTGATTCCGCCGTAGGTTTGTGCATACATGTGAGCAAATGAACGTAATGTAAAACACAAACTATATTGAGAACTTGCAAAACATACATTCCCAAGAAGAGGAGATACAGAGATGTTCTCTTTTTCATCAGAATAGACACTATAAAAGAAGCAGAATATACTTTAATTCAAAATAGAGAAGCAATTTGAAATTTTGAAAATTGAATTTATTGCAAAATAATTTTGCAACATATATATATATATATATATATATATATAATAATTTATTTCCTAAACAGTATTGATTAATTGATTATATTATCTCCTAAGTTTAATTAAAGTAGAATTATTTTAAAAGTGTGCATCCATACTGGTAAGTTATATTTTGAAAGATGTTTTGAAGTAATTTGAAAGCAAAATGTTAATAATGTTTTAACGGGGACTGGAGTTAAATCATCACGAAGGAATAATATTACAATTGTAAAAGTAAAAATTAAAACATGTAATTATTGTCATTGATCGGAAATTAGTTGACTTTTCAAGGGGAACAAACCAACTCCCGTTCAATGATCAATAATTGATAAAAATATAATTTTGCAATATAAGGTAAAAAAGAAAATTCTTCATGCTATTGCTTTTAAAGCAAATGTGATACTGTGGTTCCCGTGAGTAATTGTAAACACTAAGTTAAAATAAATTGCAATTAAAAGTTAAATTACAAGATAAAAGAAATTATAACAGTCAGTTTTCTAACTGACAAATAAAAAGTGAATGTAAAACTCAGATTTTTTTGCAATATATATATATATAGATATGATGCGCAACCAGCTTTTTTAAAAAATAAAAATAGCGAAATTATTAGAATTGCAGAAGCACATTTAATAGGAAAGTCACAAATACACACACACACATATATATAATTTGAAATATAAGAATTTTAATAGCCTTCCTTTTTAATTATAATTATATATCTGTATGTGTGCAAAGTCAGAGAGACCATGAAATATATAATGCATAATTACATGAATTGCAACTTTAATCTTCACGTATAATTTCAATAAATCAGATAGCTCAATATATTTCAATTTCAAATATACATAATATAATTTCATTTAATCAGGTGTTTATTAGTATTAGATTTAAAAATTTAAAAAAAAATCTCACTATTACCTCTTGTAGTTAAAAATTTACTTGCAGTTTTTTTCATACTAAAACAGCAATGAAATCATTATGATGTTCTAGTGATAAAATTTTTTCAGCCATAGATTCATTCATAGATTGTGCCAAATTAGCAGCTCTACTTAAAGTTCTCTGCATAGCCAGCACTCATAAATGCAATGACTTATTGCCCACCCATCATGAGAAGAGCTTAGGTAGGATTGCTGTCTTAGCACATTCCAATAAGATGGCTGATGGGCCATAATAATAAAGAAGTAAGATTACTAATTAAGCTATTGCTTATACTAAATTTTTAAGTTGATACAAGATAAATTTTTAATGCATTGTTTTTATATGCAATCAAGCTTTTACTCAAGGGGAAAAAAAAGAATAAATATTACAAGATTTAAAGAATAACTTTAATTTTTTAAGTTATACTTAATTTTAAAATATTAAATTTACCTTAGTAAACCATTTATTTCTTCAATGATGTGTCGAAGCTTATAATATGCATCTTGAGGTGGAAGCTTGAGTTCTAGCATAAGTCTGTCTATTTTGTTAATACATATACAAATTGCTAACTTCTCCTGTACCGCATGCTTCAGCAGTCTCTCAGTGTTCAACATAACCTAAAAACACAACATATTTTCTTTGTAATAATAAAATTAGATGACCTGCACATGCATTCTAAAATATAAATAACATGATTAACCTTCCAGCATGCGAGCTTAGCAATTTTACACGAGCACATGCGCGTCGTATTTTTTACAACATCCATTATTTGACCATTTTGGACACGAAAAACGACAGAAATGAGTGAATATTGATAATAAATTTCTTAAGAAATAAAATACTAGTCTTATTATTGCAAAATACAAATGATATCACATTCAAATATAAGTAAATTATTTTTTCAAGTTCTTATGTTAGTGAGATGGAAATGCAATGATGTATTTCATTATAGAAAATTTTAAATTTATTATTTAATAATTATATTTTAAAATCGAAGCTAATTTTAATATTCATCAAAGACAAGTATAGACAATAAAAAAGGAAAACACCTTGGTAGGAAAAAAAGTAAGTTTAGCATTACTTACTTCTGCAAGGAAATTTACTTCTTACTGGTTACAAAAACGCACTTTAAACTAACTTTAATGTTTTTATTTATTTATAAAAAATAGAAATAAAAGAAAATAAGGAATGAAAATCGCCGTTATTCTCCCATCCAAAGATTTCCTTGTCTTCCTTTTCTTCATCAGATATTTCTTGAAGAATCCGAGCAAAATCAGCTGGTTACACATATTTTTTTGGCATGAAATCTGATATAAAATTTACAGAGCCAAATGTATTTAAATTAAAATAATACACTGCAATTAATAAGACAAAATTACAAAATATTTGAGAAAATATTTTCCAAATTTTAAAACATGACCACGTGCATGTCGTAACTTTTATGAAAAAGCTGCCACATAGCACAAAAGCCCAGTTAAAAAAAAAGCCAAATGACCTCTTGTTGGCACTTTCCATTGGCACTTTGTGGGGAAGGGTAAAAAGGAGGAATAGAAATAACCTTCAGGTGTCTCAGCTTCGATTATGCGAAAGATGTGCATTAAAAACTGAATTTGTCGTAAATTTTGCATATATGCACGTGCTAGAAGGTTAATCTTCCACTCAGTTGATGCTTACAAAAATACTAAACATTGCCTTATGGAAGTTTGTTCCATGCCATTTTACTTTATTACCATATTTACTACTATACTTCTCCCCTGTGCATAAAGTTTCCTCTAATTTTTTCAGCATAAAAATTTAGAACTTGATTTAAGGCAACAATGTAAAATGTATCCACAAATAATAATAATAATTAAAAAATGTATAAAGAGCATTATTAAAATTAATAAATCCCTTGAAATATATAGTATATTAATAATACGAACTTTGTACATACATAAATAATTTCTGTGAAATTATACATGAAATTGTTGTATTTTTTGTATAATGCAACATAAAAATCTAAAGAAGCAAAGGTTGCCAGAAAAGTAAGAATACAGGGCAAGTCTATTTAACATTGAGTAAATGGCTGTTTTACTTAATTGCAGAGATATTGTAAGGCTGGCGATGATTTTGGTGAGAAGTTCGGTTTAAAAATTTGGAGAAATTTGTTGACCAAAATTTGGCGAGAAACCACAAAAGTCACCAAACTTGGCAACCATTTGGTGGCCTTTTGGCCCAGTTCCTGCATATCTATAATGGGTATTGTGCCACCCAGATGCTATAGTGGTCAGGGGATCCTGACTGCAATACCGATGGACTCGAGTTTGGATCCCGTGCCTGTCCCTTCATAGGAGGTAACGGTGGCCGCCTATTAGATGCCTCCACAATAAAATGGCCACCATTTCTGGCCTTAGGAGTGGCCAATGTCCTTATAGGCAAGTGCCTGCCATTGGGGGGGGGGGAAATAATGGGTATTGTAATTAAATAACTGCAATTGATGCCATATGGAGCTGTAACTATATACGGCCCTCATATGCCTTCCAGTAATTTCAAGAAGTACTTGAAATTTCTTGGCTACCTGGGGGGTATACTATATAAGATTGGAGAGAGCATGTTTTTAGTTCAACATGAGTTTGGATTATTGAGATAGCTCCATGTTAGCTTTGCACTGAGTTGCGTTTAATGTTCTCAGTTGTATTCTGTGATGAGTTACACAGTACTTTTGTTGAAAATTTCAAAACTGTGAAGTTTTTCTTTTGATAATAAAAAGCTATCGTCAGTTCTGTTCCCATTCAATCTATTACAAACCCGTACGCATGCAACAATACCATTACTGTGTCTTTATGTGTACTTTTCAATATGCTATGCTATAATTGAGGCCATCTCTTCAGAAATATTGGGAGTATAAATAATTCTCCACCATTTGACAAAAAGTGGTACTACCAGTACGTTACAGGTAAAACTGTCTGATTTAAAATATTATTATATAAGATTGGACATGTGCTAACAACCTAACTTTGAAATATTAGCAATTTTGTATCAGCATCATAGATTTTTTGTGTGTTCGCAAAAATGTCAAGTTTTGAGCAAATGAGAGCCATTTGTGGGAACTTTTGACTTACTTCTTTAATTTGAAGAAATCTAAAGCTGAGGCATATTGATTGCTTGTAGAACCATATTATAAGGCTGTCGTAAGTGAGAGAAGTTGTCATGAGAGGTTTAAAAAATTTAAGAATGGTGAATTTGATCTCGAAGATAAAGAACGTAGCGGAAGGATGAAAGTGTATGAAGACATGTAAGCATTATTGGATGAAGATTCAATGCCAAATGCAAGTAGAATTTGCACATACATTAGGAGTGACTCAACAAGCAATTTTACTTTGTTTAAAATCATTCTGAATGTTTCAAAAGGAAGGAAATTGAGTTCCATAAGAACTGAAGTTGAGAAACACTGAACTACAATTTTTTACGTATGAAATGCTGCTTGCCGGGCATAAAGGGAAGGATTTTTCACGATAGTCACTGCTAAAAAATGGATACACTATAACCCAAGAAGGAGAAATCATGGGGACCATCAGGCCATGCTTCAACACTGACAGCCAAGCCGAATCTTCATGGAAAAAAATCACGTTGTGCATATGGTAGAATTAATTTAGTGTTATATGATGGGATTAACAGCTGCTCAAACCGAACAAAACCATTACTGGGGCTCTCTACTGAACACAACTGATGAGACTTAGCTCAGCACTCAAAGAAAACTGCACCCATTACTACTTCAGGCATGACAAAATTATTCTCTTGCATGATAATACTCGTCCATATATTTTGGCGGCAGTCAAAACTAACTAGGAAATGCTCAAATGAGAAATCCCCCCCTCCACTGTATTCAACAGATATTACTCCTTGTTTTGACTAATGACACATGGCCTGTCTGAGTAGTGCTTTACATCATATGACGACATCAAAATTGGGCCGATTTTGAGACCAAAATTGGATAGTCTCGAAAAATGAAGCATTCTCTTCCGACAAGGTATCCATATACTGCTAGAAAGATCGGAAAAAGCAGTGGCTGTTGATAGGCAATACTTTGAATAAAGCATAATGTACCATTCTTTCAAAATAAATGAACAGTCTTTGATAAAAAAGGTAGAGACTTATTTGTACCCTCGATAATATGCATATTTTTACCCTCCTGCTTTTCGAATGCTAAAATTAGAAAAGGGGGGAAATGAGAATAAATACAGTATTTATATTCTTACTCCACTCACTAAACTTCTTCATACAAGCATCCCCTGCTTTGCTAAAATTTGCTTCACACTTCCCTTTTACAAAAGACTAACATTTAAAATTTTCCCTCAGCAAAAGAATCCTCCTCTCAATCAAAAAAAAAAAAAAAAAAAAAAATCTATTATGAATTTTTCTTTTTTCTTTTTTTCTTTTCTTTTTTTTTTTTTTTTTGAAATAAAAGAAAAAAGTTATTACCAATACTGAATGATTTCTAAAACTTAAAATAGTGTTTAGCCTTTATTCTTGCCAAAATGCAATTATATTGGGTTTTAACGAAAGTTTCCTACCACCGCAAATATTGCCTGAGCAAACAGTTCGCATTGCCATGTTTAATCATATTTTGTCAAATGATGTTTGGCATTTGAAAGAAAGAGACTTGCTTTAGAATGATGTGTTGTGAAACTTGTAAAAAAAAAATATCATTAAATACAAGGTGTCTGTATTGGACCTATTACACTACTGTATTAGAACCATCATTTACTACCAGCTGTCTTGCAAAAAGTCAGCTAAAGAATGTCACCAAACCATGTGTACAGCTTTAGGTACTAACAGGGTTGCCACTTAAAGAGGAGAATGAAATTCCCCTACTTTTCCAGGTGTGTATTAAGAAAATTCCAGTCTATCCGCATAGCGTGTGTTGGCTGCGCTGAGAGGTAAATTAATTATGGTATCACTTGAAAACATAAAAATTTGCCAATTGCATATGTCTTAATATACAGGCAATCCTGAAAGCATTACTATTATAACTATAATAGTTGTTTTCCCCACTGAAGATTGAGATTAGAATCTGCCCAATCTCAATTACAAAATGAGTTTTTTTGCAGACATTTTGCAGCTAAACAAAAGAAAGAAATCTATTTAATGATATTTTAAAATAAATTAAGGTATTTTATATTTATTTAGCAACATACATAAACAAAAATATATGCATTAAATTTCATGATAGTATGTCATCATACTGCTAGATTTAGTTTCAGATTTATGCCAGAGAAATTTGCCTGGAATTTGAAAGTATTATTAACTAATAATAAATAAATTTAGAGGAAAGAAGAACATTAAATGATATAAATAATAGTAAAATGAAGTTAATTACTTAAAAATTGAATTACAATAATCAATGCTATTTTGGGGAATATTAAACGTTAGCCTAGATGACTGATTACTAATTTTTTATTTTACTGCAAAATGAAAAATAAGGCATTTATTAAAATGAAAAAAAAAAAAAAAAAGTTTAAAAGATTTTGTGGTAAAATCCTAGTCTTCGCTAGGGTCTTTGTACAATTTTGAAAACTGCCGCCAACACCAAAAAGACCGGTTTACTACCCAACACCTTCTTAAACAAAGACTAAGAGACAGAAAGAGGTAACTGTTGTTATTGCTCATCATAACGTCGATAAATCCCATGTGTACCGTACATGGAGGTTAGAATAAAAAAATATGTATTGTTAAGATTAAAAAAACTTCTCTGCAACAGGAATGGCTCCATCCCCAATGTAGAGGGAAACAGCTGCGTATGCGCGAAATATCTGCCGCCGAATCTGGCGAAGTTTGAAGATCAAGTTTATTAAGAGTACATGAAAGGAATATCATTTTAAATTTCCTTAAACTTTAAAGGAAAAGAAAATATTTTTGCGCGAGTAAATTAATTAATACATTAGCTATTTTGAGCAAAAAAATTACGAAAATCTGAGTATAAATTATCGCGAAAGTCAAAGAATGTTTCTTCTTAACACATGCTCCACAATTTCCTGTACATATCGCGGAGGGGGAAATTCTCGCCGTCAGGTTCTGTCGCCAAATTACTTGGCGAGTTTTTCTCTCCGCTTTCTAGCGGCACTCTAGCAAACTGATTACATTACGTCTATGGAACCTTTCTTTCTTTACATAGACATTCTTACTTTAGAACAGAGTACATAGGGGCTATTCTAGCCTCCATGGGACTGTATATTAGGATTAAACTGATTTTGTTGTACACAAGAAAAGGTATTTTTTTTAGTTCAACATAACCTGCACATGCTAGTCTTAGGATTCTCAAGGTTACCGGAAACTAAACTTGCTTTGCCTTTCTAAAAGACAATCTGATTGGAGCTACAAAAATTGGCTTTAGCCAGCTACCCGAATGACGCTCATTCAATACATAAGTCGCCAACAAAGCCATTGCTTCCAACATTGGGACAAAACTCGCTTTTGAGGGGACCGCCGTATGACATTTTTCAGATTTTGACTAAAATATTTAAATTCCCTGACTTTTTTGGTCAATTTTCGAATTCCCTGACTTTTTCCGGTTTTTTACATAGCGTGGCAAACCTGTACTAATGTTGTAATGTCACCAAATCCCATGTGTACCATACGTGGAGGTTAGAATAAAAAATTATGTATTGTTAAGATAAAAAAACTTTTCTGCAACAGGAATGGCGACATGGGAATGACACTGTGAAGGTACCGGAAGTTCAAAAATAAGGATTATGACATTCAAGAAGCAGAGCACTCTGGCCGGCCTACTGATGTTGATGAGCCTCGCATGTAAGAACATGTGGAAGAAGATCAGCGTGCAACCACTCGAGAGCTTATTAAGGAGTTAGACATTAGTGCTATGTCCAGTAATCATGCTTTGCATCACATAAACTTGACGTACAAGTTCAATCGCTGGATGCCACATGAGCTGACTCAAGCATATAAGGACAGACATGTTTGGGCCTGCACTAATATGATCGAATATCAATGCATGAACAAAATTCTGGACCAGATCATCACTTGTGATGAAAAGTGAGTTTACTTCATCGCAGGCCAAAGAGGGGGTTGGTCTGCACCTAAAGAGGCCATAGGCAACGTCGCAAAGTGCAATTTGGTACTCTTTCAAGCATTTAACCCACACACATATTGTTCCATTTATCACTTGTCAGTTCGCTATAACGTTGTTCGAAACGCTAGGACAAATCTTCAAATAAATGACCTCAAAAGATAAAAGCACTGCACATGTATCTTTTAGGTTTCTTTGTTAAAAATTGGATACATTATGGCAAATATACCTAAAATATAAAATAAGTAGCTAGTAATGATAGATGTATGTTATACACCAGTGTGCATCATATACAAGAAAATATGGTAATTTAATAGTAACCAGTTCTTTACGCCATTCTGATTTACTAAAGTTATCATTCAAACATTTTACTTTGGAATTTGAATGAAGCCTGTATTTTAAAACATATGGAATAGCAAATGATACTTTCTAAAAATTTAATTATAATTACAGCTAGACTATTTACAAATTGAAATAAATTTCAATTGTTATAAAAGTTCAGCATATTAAACAACTAGATATAACTGAATTTTATTTAGCTTATGTGGGCAGAACACTTATAATAAATAACTGGAATCAAATTTTTTACTTACTCCTTCAGCAGCATCAACAAATAAAATGACCCCATCGCAAAGCCTGATTGCTGCAGTTACTTCATCAGAAAAATTTACATGACCTATTTAAAGAAGTCACTAATATAAGTAAATGCAAAGTAATTGCTTTATACTACATAATATTTCTGATTAATACAACATACACAGTATAACCCGACTATTTGGCATTCAACTTACTAGAAAGCTGAAATAACTGGAAAATTCTGGACACTCCCCCCCCTGCAAATATGGTAAATGAAAGACTTGTACAGCCATTATAAAGTGAGCATAAGGACTCAACAGCATATATTTGAGTGGAAATAAGGGATAAGCATTCAACTTACTAGAAAGCTGAAATAGCTGCAAAATTCTGAACCCCCCCCCCAAATATGGCAAATGAAAGACTTGTAAAGCCATTATAAAGTGAGCATAAGGACACAACAGCATATATTTGATAAAGAAGGTTTAGTTAATTGCTATTTATCTTTATCCCCAATTGCATTTTGAAAAAAAAAAAAAATGGCTAATATTTCAGACTTGCCTTCTACAAAGCAGTGTGCAGTGAAGTATTTTCAAAGTTTTAGGATCCTGGAATGAAGAAAAGAGTACACTAATGGCCACAATGTGTGACTTTATTTGAAAACAGATACATGCTGGCTATTCAGAGCAAAACTTATGATAAGCAATTTAATTTTTTTATATGCTACATTCATAATTTAAGTCTCCATAAGTTGAGCCTAACTACATAAAAATTATCCATTTTGTTGGAAAATATAGCTTATTTTTAAACCTTTTACTGCAGCATCTCTCCTCCTTGAAATGTTTATTTAATTTAGTTCTTATTTTAATGTAATATAGTAGTTACTTCTACTTCTTTTTCTTGCTGCCACTGTTTGCATTGAGAACGGACTGTTTCAACCTAATTGAGATGCAAAAACGAAACATGATGTTACGTCATCTGAAAAGCCGATTCGTGCCGATAGCTGATTGGTTGCCGTGAGATGACATCATTCCTACTTCTGCTATAAGTATCTCACGTCGCTCTGGCTCAACGCTTGACTTGGACTTGATCTGGAAAATGTCAATTATTCAGCAAATTGTGGATCGCTTTCATGCACTGACTTCCAGGAATGATAGCCTGACCCCCTATGAGCAAGTTGAATTGGCATTCCTGAACAGATTTATGGATATAATACATAACACGGAAAGAGATTTGGCCTCTCAATCTGAGTCTAACCATTCAAACGATGTGGATTCAAGCATGGAATGGATTACCCCCAGCCACAGTGTTAAATGGCCGCTCAGCCCTGAAAAGTCAGCCGAATTGGATTTGAAAAACAAATACCATGTGCTAACTCAGCTTCCTCCCGAAAAAGCTCATACCCATCGTACTGAACGGAGTACTCACTCAACTACCCAAGGCGATGTTGCAGTAAAAGGCAGGATGAAACCGAGGGCTGCAAAAGCTGATGATTCATCCAAAAAGCCGAATGAAATCTCCTCCACAAACCCATCTAAAGTAGCGACCAGTAGCCACGCTAAAGTGGCACCATCTAGTGAATCCTCCGAGAAGCCGGCTGCAAGTACGTCCCTGACGGAAAGCATGTTGTGGCCTATCGGAAATACAGATGAGGTCACGTGCCCGGCTGGGCAAATAAGTGATGCTCATGTATCTGAAGAATTTAAGTTTCCGAAAAGAAGTTCGAAGCTTCCGCCGATTGTCATTAAGGATTCAAACTGGAAATGGAAGGATATTACTGATCTATTGGATAACTCCGGCTACAGTGAATTTAATGCAAAGATGAATGCCGTAGATGAATTTGAAATCAAAGTCAATTCCAGTGAGACTTATCGTAACATCACGGACCTCCTTGGCGACAAAAAGATTAAATTTCATTCATATCAGCTTGCTGAAGACAAAAACATCAAAGTCGTCATTCGTAGCCTTCCGATTGACACCCCAGTTACGGATATCCAAGATGCTCTCATTGCAGAAGGATACGCTGTTAAAAAGGTTGTACAAATGTCTCGCCGAAAAGGTCCTGAAATTGCCCCCATGCCTCTATTTCTGATCTTGCTAGAAAGGAATGAGAAAACCAAGGACATTTTTAATAATCTAAAGTATCTTATGAGGCTAAAGATAACAGTTGAAAGATACAGAGGTAGACGCGGTATCACGCAGTGCTTCCGATGCCAAGACTTTTACCACGCTCAAAGTCAATGCCGTCACGCACCACGGTGTGTCAAATGTGGTCAGGGGCATGAGTCTCGTGACTGCACCAAGCCCAAGGATGTGCCACCAAAGTGCTGTCATTGCGGACTTCCTCCTCATACTGCCAGTTTTAAAGGTTGTTCGTTCTACCCCCCAAGCCTCGCTCATCCTTTGTGCAAAAAGGCATATCATATGCAGATAGAGTAGTCAACAATAGTAATGCTACTCCCCCACAGATGGCGCCACAAGCAACCTTCCCACAACTCAGTGAGCTTCAAGCAAAGCTCGACGAAGCTAATGCGGTAATTCAAAAGCTCACAACAGCCATCTCTATGTTTGCTGATGTAGCGAAGGCACTTCCTACCGCCTCTATGATAGAGGACACAGTCAGGCCAGCTTCCCCCAACCATGGATAATCCCACCTCCCGGCAAAGTTCTCCTGTTAAGATCCTGCTCTGGAACGCGCAGAACGTTACCTCCAAGATACCGGAACTTCATGAATTTATCCAGCAAAATGACGTAGACATCTGCTTAATTACAGAAACCCATGCTAACCCTTCGCACCCTTAAGGATAGCCAATTATTTCAGGACAAATAGTGGATAGCCAATTATTTCACTGAAATAATTGGCTCCTTAAGGATAGCCAATTATTTCAGTACCGTGACAGACTCCACCACCGTGGTGGCGGAGTGCTCATTTATGTTAAAAAGGACATTTGATTCATATCTGAAAAGTGCAGAAAATTGTGATGGAATGGAAAGTGTTAAAGTGATGGTGAATCTACCCAACATTGGGGATGTCACTTTCTGTGCGATGTATAACCGCCCTGGGAACAAGCTCAGTGCTGAAATTCTGGATAGACTTATTAACTCAGACTTCCCCACCTTTCTAGGTGGCGATTTAAACGCCAAGCATCTCGACAGGGGATGCCGCAACTCGAATTATAATGGACACATAGTGCATGATTTTGTGTGTAATTACCCTGTCTTTCTGCATGTGCCGGATGAGCCTACCTATAGGCCAAATATACTCAACCATTGGCCTGACATTCTGGATATTTTTATTACGACGTTCAATATTCCTATGGCTATTACGGTAACATATGACATGTCTTCTGATCATTTACCTGTGCTTGCTTACCTTGGAGTGGAAAATGCTAAGAACCTACCGCCAATTAAGCATACTGATTGGAATCTTTATCATAATACTTTGATGACCACTGATTTTAATTGTGACTCGTTACAAAGCACTACGGATATTGAACGTGCTATAACAGACTTTACTTCGTACCCCTGCATTCTGCTAAGTCCCTAGCTACGACTGAGGTTGACGTGTCAGACATGAGCACACGCTTCCTGCCAATATTCGCGAAAATAATCTGCTTTCGAAATCATCTCCTCCGAAAGGAATTCAATCTCACCTGGGATCCTGCTATCAAAACTCCAAATTAACAGGCTTAATAGGAAAATCAAGCAAAAGATTCAGGCCCATCGTTCTAGCTTATGGCAGGATAAGATGGAAAAGATCAACGACGAACCTGGCGCCATCTGGCGTCATACAAGGACACTAAAACGCCCCTGCTCTGCTGCAGAAAACCGCTCAAATGCGATAACGGATTTGCTTACTCCGATCATGACAAAGCGGAACTTTTTGCGAACACCTTTCTAAACAGTTCATTCCAAATTCCTTCCCCTTCAGATCATAGTTCGGACATTCAAGTTCATTACCTTAACGATCAATGGCTGCACTCCCCTTCTACGGAACCTTCTATCAAACTAACCACAGCCGCACGAAGTGCAGAACATTATTAAGGGACTTAAAATTAAAGAAAGCTCCAGGAAAGGACAAGATCACGAACCAGATGCTGAAAAACATGCCTTTTAAGACCGTATGCAAATTAACAGGCATTCTCAATGCATGTTTGTATCAAAATTATTTCCCCGCTTTTCTTCTGGAAGCAAGCAAGCATCCTGATGATTCCTAAGCCAGGGAAAACACAGGATTACCCGGCAAACTTTAGACCCATCAGCCTGCTGTCCTCCATAAGCAAGATCCTGGAACGTATTATTTATCTCAGAATGCAAGGAAAACTTGGACTTTCTCGTTGATCACCAGCACGGTTTCCGGAAAGGACTTTCGATTTACTACAACGCAGTTAGTTCAGGCTCACGGAGTTCACGGAGTTCATCGGCGCAGCTATGCACAACAGAATGAGTGTTGCTATCCTGATGCTAGACGTGGCAAAGGCCTTTTGACCGCGTCTGGCATCCAGGGCTAATCTATATAAGCTAATTCATCTCGGTTTCCCCAGAAATCTGATACTCATTATCAAGTCCTTCCTTGAAAATAGAACTTACAACCGTTGGAGTTGGAAATGCAACTTCATGTGTCAAAAATATTTATGCAGGTATTCCTCAAGGGTCAATTTTAGGCCCGCTTTTTTACATCATCTATACCAACGATTTCCCTTGCTTTTCCGAGGATACAAATGTTCTCAGCAGCCAGCTACGCTGATATGATACAGCGATAGCCACCAAGTCTTCTAAACCCCGAGTATGCCTTGTCAAGAATTCAGGCCAAAAATCCCTGCTATTGAGGGGTGGTGCAGTCGCTGGAAAACGTGCATTCAGCCAGAAAAGTCCAAGATTCTACTCATCATTCGAAATCGCAGACAGAGGAAACGGGTCAGAACTGAGGTTAAACTTTTTGGCAAAATCATCCCTACAGTTGATAAAGCTTAATTACCTGGGAGTTACCCTTAACAAGAACTACAATTGGAAGGATCATATGCTTAGAGTAAGCGGAAAAGCACACGGGATCATTTTCAGGCTTTTTCCTCTCCTAAAGGAATGAAAACCTCACCTCTCCCT